AAACATGGCTTGCGGCAAACAGGCAGACAGACAGAATTTTTAAAATGCGATTTTCGTTATCCACACCGCAAATACATCATTTTTCCGAAATTTGTAATTTTTCTTTTGATATTACGAACAGACACACCAATTTTATTATATGTACAGATAGAAGATAAATATAAATTATATTTTAAATGCGAAACTTTAGATGGATGGATGTTTGTCAGAGTTTGCTAAACTATTTAACGGATCTCGATAAAATTTGTCATATGTACACGATAGTTTGAAAAACACATAGGCTACTAAGTTAGTTTTTAATTCCACGCGGACGGAGTCACGGGCGATAGCTAGTAATAGATATAGAATTTCAATTACTTGGAGATATTTTTAACATCTTGACGTCATCTGTGACGTGTATTTGAATATAAATATCATTGTCTCTGTTATTCTTAAAGAGTATGAAAGAGAGGCGCAAGAATTGTCACCGCATTTGAGTTGTAACGTAAAAAATTGCATAATTATGACATCTCTAGACAATAGCGTGGTATGTGACGAATCGGTAACGTCCTCTAACTTGAAGACTTAACTTGTGACAATTATAACTACTAAGTACCTGCCATTTTCTCTAAAGATGATAAACAGCCATCGGAATTCTCTAAAACAAAGTGCCAACCCACTTCTCCTTACCATCCTTTCTTGTTTTAGTGTTGTTTATATAAGCTACCATCTTTCGCCCTAAACACCGTATGCGTGAAATTAAAAAAAAAAAAACAAAAAAAGTTGTATATGTGTTCTTCCAGACTATCCATCTATCTATGCCCAATTTCATCCAGATCCGTTCAGCAGTTTAGGCTAAAAACTCATACAAACATCCATCCATCCTTCCATCTAAACTTTCGCATTTATAACATTAGTAAGAAGTAAGATTATGATAAAAATTAATAATAAAAAAATACTATTTAACGATAACTTCCATAAAATCGAGTTACATTCTAATGGAACATGAAAGCATGTTTTTAAAAAGTTGTGTTTCTTTTAATCTCTTCTCGATCGAGTAGAGGAAATATACACACCTAAATATTCCGAATGACAGTATGATTATACTTTTAGCTGCTAGAGAAATAAATGTTAAATCTAATACTAGCTTTCGCGTGCGACTCCGTCTGCGTGAAATTATAAATTAATATAAAACATAGACTATGTTCTTCACTGACAATTTAGCTAGAAAGAATTTTTGATATTGGCACATTAGTTTTCGAATTATTTCATTTGAAATCAAACAAAGTTTTCCTCTTTATAACATTACTAGCTTTCGCCCGCGACTACGTTCACGTGGAATTTAAAAAAAAAACAAAATCAAGTACCCTATATGTTCTTCCAGAATGTCCTCTACATCACTACCTAATTTCATAGAAAACTGTTCAGTCGTTAAGGCTACAAACTTTAACAAACATCCATCCATCCATTTAAACTTTGGCATTTATAATATTAGTATGAAGTATGATTAGTATGATAGTATGATAGTATGATGAGAAGTTTTTTTCTAACTGCAAGTTCTAAAGAATCTTAATAATCAAAACAATACACTATCTGGGAGGTAGCAAAAAGTTTCTTTGAACTTGAATTTATTTACACTAGCTTTTGCCTGTGACTCCGTCCGCGCAGAAAAAAAATCCATAAGCTTAAGTTCTCTTAGACTATGTTCTACATTTGAGTCAAAACATCGAGATCCGTTCAGTCGTTTAGAAGAAACTTGTTACAAGCATCCATCCATCCAAACATTAGTATGATTCTTTAGTTACAAACCGTCTCTTATCTTCAGAACATGTAACCTAATTATAATATATAAACTGACTTTATAAGCGACAAAAATAAGTATGTACAATCGGGGAAACTGGCGGTTCCATCTTAAACACGTTTTAACATTTTGTAACGAGATTTTTTTTATATAATATAAGGTGGCAAACAAGCAAGCGACCACCTGAATCCACCGAAATGGAAAGCGACCGCTGCCCATAAACAGCCGCAATTGCAGATGCTTTGCCAGCCCTTCATTGACGGAGGAGACGCACATAAAGAGGACATTTTCTCTTACTATACATCTACTCCACCGTCAAATCCACTTTTCCTTCCCATCCTTCCCTCTTAAGAAAAGGGTGGAAAGGGAAAGGGACTGAATTAAGGCCTCCGGAACCACACTCATCAGACGGCACTCGGAATTGCTTCCACTTCACGCCTGTTTTCTGTGTGGTCATGGTATTACACCGGGCGAGACGGTCCATTCGTGCGATGTTTAAGCGGGCTCTACCACTGTTAAATGATGAAATGCAGAAGAAAAACCTATACAACGCTTACAAATGTATCTATAGGAAAAAAAGTTGGTCATATACACTGATAGTATTTTTATATTTGTAAGAGGCGGAGTTTGTTTCGTAATGAATAAGGTAATTTTTCCCGAAGTGTAACACCGAGATATTCCCCAACTGTACTTCGGTGTCATGTTTACAGATTGAATAATTTTCTACACCTTTTTAGCTTATAAAAGAATACTTATAAATACAAAAACAACAGCTTATCGTCGATATAAAAGGATTAAATAAACGCTAACAGATTTGCCTTTGAGAATGACATTCAATGTCACTTAACAGTAAAAGGCCTAACTTAAAAGTACCAATTTTAACAAGACTTTAAAGCCCAGATGTTAAATTCTATCTCTAAATCAGTTAATGCTTGTATATACATCTTTAACTGAACAATTAAACTGACAGTTAAATGTTTCCTATACACGTTAGGTTCCGAACAGTCCTTTTCAGTCAAAACTGTCAGACTTTTGCTGTACCTGGCATTAAACCCACTAAACTTTTAACTGTAAAGTTGGAAACCCTTTTCTGACAGAAGCCCTGGGCGACCACTCTACCACGCCCTTCCATAACGCCTATACTCGTTAGATCGCAAAGATAGCCTTATATTTCTAAATATAAAGATGGACGAAAATTGGAAAGTCCCTTAGGTACATCCGTAGATACGACCCCATATAGCTATCTTCCTCTCTCTATTTTTTTGAAGGGATTGACAAGGACGACTATATTCCAGTTCATTGAGCGGATAAACGAATTAACTTATACTGATACTATTGCTCGCGACTTCGGTCACGTTGTATTAAAAAAATTAAAAAGTATAGACTATCATACTTCATACTAATTCATACTAATATTATAAATGCGTAAGTTTAGATGGATGGATGGATGGATGGATGGATGTTTGTTAGAGTTTGTAACCTAAACGAACACATAGGCTACTGTTTATCCCGGAAATAGTTACGTTTCCCGTGGGATGCATTAATTTCGTATTTTGATGTTTACTCGATAATTCTGCGACGGTTCAACATACCTTATTGAAATTTGGTACAGATATAAAACAAAGTCTGGAGTACACATGGGATAAGGTTCATCCCCGAAAAATGCCCGGTTCCCAAGGGACACGTTATTTACATAGTTCGTTTGTTTTCTAATACCACGCGGACGAAGTCGTGGACAACAGCTTGTAAGTAATATGTTACTCACTGATATGTAGCTTTTTAATGGTGAAAGAATTTTTGAAATCGGATAAGTAGTTTTTAAGTAATTTCGATACATACAAAAATCCCAAAATTCAATTTTTTCCTTTTTATAATATCAGTTATAAATGCGAAAGTTTAGATGTATGTTTGTTATGTGTGACCAAAACTGATTAACGGAACTTGAAATTTGTTACAGATTTAGAACATAGTCTGGAAGAACACATAGGGTACTTTAAGTACATAACTTATAACGTCATCATCATCCACTTCCCCTTATCCCTTACGGCACAGTATGTGCTCTTCCAAAATCTCTATCAGCCATCATATCTGAATCCACTCCTTTCTTAAGCATATCCTATTTCACACAATCCATCCATACTTTCTTCGGTCTTATTCTACCTTTGTAGCCATCCACATTCAATCTTAACACTTTCTGGTTTATGTCCCCATCGTCTCGTCGTAACGAACGAAACGATGGGGACATAACTAACTTATAATCTACACTGTGTAATATTTCTAGAACGTTTTTAAAGAAAATTTCGAACACATGCGACGGTTTTGGCATAGTTTCTATAAAACAAAATCTGACGCATCTAAAAATATGCTTTTCGAGTACATTTATTTTAAAAAACTAGCTGTTCCCCTGCGACTTCATCCGCATAAAATTATGAAAATTTTATTTTATTCTTTACATGAGTTAAATAATCAATTGCAAATGTCAAAATACCAATTACCTTACAATGGCAATTTTTGCTATGTTTAATGGCGTGAAAATATATAACATAAAGCATGACGTAAGTGTAGAGCTTTTTATTACAAAAAGAATTATTAAAAAATATGCTGTAATTGCTGACATCTTTAGCAACAAAGAAGTGTATGTTTACGCTTTACTATAATCGTATAGAAGTATAGTTAATATTTCAATTATTTCTTGTACTGCAGTTAATAAATTATAATAGAATTTTCATTCTAAATACATAAGATTATTACTAAAAGCCATAAAACCTTTTTATTGCCGGTATGAAATACTTGTTTGTTAAATTTTTCACAAACGTTTTCAATATTTCAGTAAATTTCCAGAGTTACGCAATTATTGTCATTATATTGTTATTTATATGATTTACACAAAATAAATAACATAATTTCTATATTTATGTCATAAAATAGATTAATACTAATAATATTGTAAAGAAAACTTATTAATTCATGTAATTTCTACTGAAAATTCACATATCTCTCAAGTTAGACGTAAGTTGTCACTTTTAAGGTTACATTACACTACGTAACTTTGCTTTGAAGGTAATATTACTAACTGAGTTTTAAAACACAAGTTAAATAGAGTTTAAAATAGTGCTAATAGATTTTTAAAACGATTAAAAAAACTAAATTACGTCTCACTTTATACAAAACATTCTTAATGCATACGTAAACAGTATGGCGAGTGAAAATCATATGTCACCTGATAAGGCTCGTCAGGTTTGCCGGGGTACGATGCGCTACGTCGATAATCCGGAGGCCGGGGTGGTGCGGGAGCCCTACGCCAGGGGGCGAAGGCCGAAGGCTGCGGCGGCTGCGGCGCCGGCCACCTGTACTGCGGGGCGCGGCGGAACGGCGCCCTGTACTGTCTTTCATCGTCGACGCTTGGTGCGCCGGGGTACTGTAACTCACCCATATAATGAAGGCGTCCGACCTTTCCGACGGTCGGACGAATACTGGCGATAACACGGCCTATCGCCTATCGGGTCGATGTCAACTGCGCGCGCATAACGCTGTAGTGACGTTCCGTTTTCGGTGAAATTATTTCGTTTTTTTTTTTTTTAGTCTTTAACCGCAGAGTAACTTTTGGCTATACGTAGTCTTTGCCTGAATGCGTCAAATTGTTGCCGCGCATTTTCCTCTGCTATTTTTGTTTTAAACCTTTGTAATATACTATTTATCGATATCTTTGAATACTTTTGATGGTTTTATACTATACTTTTAAGATAATTTGGTATTTCCTTTTCGTAAAACAGAAAAAGATTTTGAAAACCTTATCAGTACCTAATATATTGTTGTTCTTGGCTCTTAACAACTTTACATGTTCCAAGAGATTTCAATACTTGATAATTATGAAAAAGGAAACTTTATGAAGACGAATGATGCATCGCAAACTTATTCCTAACTTAACCAGCGCCATCTGTTATTGAAAAGTGGTCACTAAATTCTAACCTATATACGGAATTATGCCGCAAGATGGTGAACTATTACGAATGATCTTTTATATCGTTTTTAGACTACAGAAGTAAAAAAGAAGGTAGTATTCATTAAATTGAACTTTCAATATTAATTATGAATATTTTAAAATGAACAAGCAAACCCCTTATAAGTAATTATTTTTTTAATAGTAAATTTAGTAGTAAATTATTTAATAATTTTTATCTAATCGTTTCTTGGATTTTTAATTGAGAAAAATAACATGAAACTAAATAAAAATATTGAAATTCGTAATTAGTGCTACGAAGCGTAGCGCGCTACGAATGCCTACGGTATATGTGACCTTACTGTTTGAATATCTGAAAGTATGGTATGTTTTTGTTATTGAAATACTTATAATTTCATTGAATTTTTCAAACATAATAAATCGCAAACCGTATTTATATACTAAAACAAAAATGCCTCAATTTCTAAAATCTCTACTTTTGGTTATTTTTACTTGAGTCCGTTAAAAAAAGATATCGAATCATCAACGACCGAGCTCTTACTGATCGGCTAGATCCTCTGGCCTTGCGGAGGGACGTCAGTTCCCTCTGCATTTTTTACCGTATTTACCACGGGAAGTGTTCCGAGGAGTTGTTTGGAACGATTCCTGCCGCCGAGTTTCGTCATCGGACGACATGACAGACCGCCAGGTACCATCCTCGCCATGTCGATGGCTGGCATTCCACAACTGTGCGGTTTTCCCGGAACTTTCTGCCCCGCACAGCCGCGCTGTGGAACGGTCTGTCCTCGGCGGTATTTCCAAACCAATACGACTTAGGGTACTTCAAGAAGCGAGCCTAGAATTTCCTCAAAGGCCGGCAACGCATCTGTAGTTCCTCTGGTGTTGCGAAAAAAAAATCGAACCGAGGCCTATCTGCTAGCTAAGCCTGCTAATAGCGTGGGCACATCGTGGACTAAACTATCGCACAACTGTTTAGTCTCGCTTTGATTTCTTTCAGCTTATATGGAGATGCGCACATACTCGATTTTTAGTTGTGGTACTAAACAGTTGAATTGGCTATGAAACAATCGAAAATCACACAACAGCTGTGCAATAGTTAGTGGTAGAGCCTTCTTAAACATCGTCTCAAGAATTGGCTCTGATACAACCACGACCACAAAAGATAGGTGAAGTGGAAGCAATTCCACGTACAGTCTGATGACTGTTTGTATCGGATGCCTCATTTTCGTTCCTTTCTCTTCCAACCTATTTCTTGTAAATATTAGGAAGGGAAAGGGGATTTGATGGAGACGCATAGGGAGATTATCCTCTGTCCGTCTCTTCCTCAGACAATTAACGGTTAGAGCATATCTGGGGCTAAATTTTAGTTCCTTTCCCATCCCACCGTAATAAGAAAAGGATTTGTAATAAGCGGAGGAAATGTCCTATTTGAGTGCGTGTCCTTTGTTTATAGATATTTCGTCAGTGTAAGTCGACGTTTATAACACTAACAGCGCATTCAGGTGATGGCATTGATTCAATGCGGATAGCGCAGTGCCCGCGTTTGCTGCAAAACTGTCCTATAAGCCTCTAAACACACTAGCGTTGTGATTCTCAAACTCTACTGATAGTCCCGTTACAATTGCTGATTGATTGATTTTAGCTTGTGTGCTCTCGACTATATTTGCACCCCCCGTTGGGTCTATTATAACCAACAGGGGGTCAATTACAAGAGTAATAAAATTGAACACATGAAATTTTATTCATTTGAAATCGGCCCAGTAGTTTTTGAGTTATTTCGATACATTCAAAATTACTACTACTCTTTATAATATTAGTAAAGAGGTATAGATTAACTTGATAAAATATCTTTCAATTTTTGCGTAAATTTGGGAATACAGAGTACTGTAGATTTTTGCTGTCTATCGTATATTTTGTCGTAATCGATTATTTTAAAATTTAAAGTTTCGTCTTAACTCATTAAAAACAAATGAAATCTTAAAAATAACGATCGGAGTACAAAACTATAATCTGACAGAAGTTTTATATTATATTAGCTTTTGACCGCCACTCCGTCCGTGTGGAATAAAAAAAAAGAAAAGTGAATAGCCTATGTGTTCTTCCAGACTATCCTCTACATCTATGCCAAATTTCATCGAAATCCGTTCAGCCGTTTAGACTACAAACTCTAACAAACATCCATCTAAACTTTCGCATTTATAATATTAGTATGATTTTATGATAATTTGAACCAGTAGTATGATTTAAAATAGTTAAATTACAATCGCCCTAATGTAGGACCACCTTTATGTTGCCCTGCATTGTAACATTTAGGTTAACGAAATAGGTTAAAGAGTTTCCTGAAGAACTGATAACTGTAACTTAATAAGTAGTTAACAATATTGGCAAAAATATTAATATTCAGTACAGTCATATTTATGTAAGTACATATAAGTACGGTAAATAAATACAAGATAATAATACATAAAAACAAATGAAGATAAAAATATTTTACATATTTTCTGTACAAAGGTTTTGTTACAGAAGTAACCTTATTGCCCTTTTATAGCCTTTTAGAATAGTCTCCACTCCATGTGTTCTCTCAATGATTTTCGTCTTGTCTAGAAAACTGAAAGGCACTTAATTTTATCAAATTAAAAAAGTAAGTAATAGGATACAACTAACTAATCTATAAAGTAAAAGTTTACAATAAAAGAAAACTTCCAAACGTATTTTTCTACAAGAAAATACAATAAATATACAAAAAGCTGCATTTCAATTTTAATTTTTAATTATTTGGTAAAACGCCATCTATCGGTAGAAAGACTTTTTGGAAAAAACATTGAATAAAATTTCGTAATGTTTTACTAGTTACAACATAGATGGCGTTTAGACAAAATAATGAAAGTAATGCATAATAAAAGTAAATCATTTTAATGGCTTGTTTTGCTGTAATGTACACTAGAAAAGACAAAAAAGCGTCTTTTAATCAAATTTTAGTCGTATTTATTTTAAAATGTAATCAAACTTCTATACTAATAAAATGGGAATGTTTGTCACCTATTTTAAACTACAATGGCAGATTTTATTGGCAGAGTATATTTAGACCATTGTTTTAATTTTGGCACTGAAACGTTTGATTACTAAATTACTAAAATAACATACTTATAACATTAACAATCAATTTATCTAACATGTTATAAACTTACCGATAACTTTAGCCTTTTTATCAGACGTTAACCAAACATTTATGGTTACATGTGTTTAGTGATGCTGTACTAAATTTATCGACAATTTTATTTATGTATAACAAATATTGCAATAAAATCTACCAATACATTTATTTGTTCATAACCGAAATATCATTTTTTCTTTATTTATTCAATATTTATATGCTCTTAACTGTGAGTTATCACTCGAAATATTAGTACGCAAAACATTTTGTTTTATCTTTTTGGTTCTGTCAGAAAACACGTAAAATTGACATAGAAAATGGCATATCTGAAATATATTAGGCCTTTTTTAGTTTAGATATGTTGCTTTTATTTTACTTTTAATTATAATATAAAATTATGTTCGATAAACAAGAAACCAACACTAATTCATATTCAGCTGTTATCGATATGTTGTACATACGTACGTCACTCGTGTCGAGTCAGTCGTCGTAGCGTGACGTTCATCAAAATGGATCAATTTGAACCAACGGGTACGTAAAAGTTATCTATTATTAGTAACAGTCACTTTTAAATGTTACTACTTTAGTTAGTTAAATATTTAACAAAGCAAATTAAATGAATCGACGTAATTCAAGTGAAGATCATTTACAATGTCAAAGTCAAAGAGTATAATAATGTCAGAGTGACAGCCAATGGCGGGAATTTTAAATTCTGACGTCGAAAACCAGTGATTGTCAACTACTGTGCCGCGTCACTTTAGTGTGCCGCTAAGTTTTTTTATTATTATCTTGCAATTAATACCTTAAAAAAACCTTAGTTTTATTGTAGTATATATTGGTTTACTTCGTATATTTAAATTTTTTGTTATTAACTATATAAGCTGTTTGTTGTAGTAAGGAAATAATTTTTATCTTTTTCTTTGAGTGCCGCCAAAATTGTAAATTGTTAAATATGTGCCGCAACAAAAAAAGGTTGAGAATCACTGGACTAAACTATTGTACAACTGTTTAGTAGCATTTTGATTTCCATGAGCTTATATGGAGGTAGACTACACGATTTGTAGTTGTGCAAAACGATTGAATTAGCTGCAAAACAACCGACAATCGCTCAAAAGTTATGCAATTGTTTAGTTGTGCGCTCTAAAGCGTTCATCATTACATTCCAATTTCAAACTTTAAGCCCTGTTTCCACTAATATCCAGAGCACCAGCATGTCAGATACAATCCATTAAAGGACGAATGGATCTTAGTATCACCTCACCGCTGCAAGCGACCTTGGAGCGGACAGACAGAACAAGCGGCTGAGGAACCACCACCAGATGTCAACAACCCTTTACGAGCTGGTGCTGTTAGGTCTAACGGACAGGTAAGTGAATTGGCACATCGGGATTAAGAGTGGTATACTCCACGATGTGCCAACTAATTTATAGTTGTTATCAGATATGTTGACGGCTCATAAGTTCGAAGGAGTCGCTGCACAGACAATTAGATGTAGCTGGGTATAGTGGGATGAGGGAGGGTTTTGCGAACCAGGATTATATTGAGCCTCAGAGATATTTGAAAAGATTTATAGTCGAAGTCCGATATTTCAGTATTTAATCCGATTTTTAGGTTGTTAATTAACAATTATTTTTAAACCCCCAGCGTAATCCAAACTACACGTCAACTTATGTGTTCCCGAACGATTTTCCCGCGCTTCTGCCGAAAGTTCCGGAACCATCGCCACCGGAACATCCGTTATTCCAAGCCGGACCTGCTAAAGGAACATGCAGGTATAGACAAAGTTTTATTTTCTGTGGATTTAATAATAAGAAACAAATAATTATGTTTATTTTACAGAGTGATGTGCTTCCATCCAGACTCATCTATGACATTACCGCTAATGTCTGTGGAAGAAATACTGGCTGTTATTGAAGAGTAAGTCTTTTTTTTTAGACTAGCTGTGCCCATGCGGCTTCATCCGCATGAAATTATGAAAGTTTTATTTTATTGTTTATATTTATCAAATTCTCATTTGCAAATGTCAATACCAATTACCTTACCATGGCAATCTTGCTTCTTGATGTTGGCAGCTTATCATATGGTCTCTTTCCCACATTAGGGTTTTTATCCAAAATATTTACCCCCTAAGTTTAATAGCATGAAAATATATAGCCTAAAGCGTAACGTAAGTGTAGGGTTTTTTATTGAAAAAAATGAATATTCAAAAATATGGTGTAATTGCTGACATGTTAGGCAACAAAGAAGTGTGTGTTTACGCTTTATTATAAAAATATTGATTAAACAGATGTTAGATATATTCTGAGTTTTTAATTTCGCTCGTGTCGCGGAACGTAATGTTAAGTGTAACGGAACGTAGCGACACAGATAAAGCAATACTGTACTAGTAGAAAGATGGTTTCATTTGACTGCCAATATATTTGAAAATAACTCTACTTAATTTTTTTTTATTGTTTTTTGCTTTATTAAATAATAGCCCCATTGACATCTAAATCATCTTACATGGATAAAATAAATATGTCACCGTCAAGTCATAAACGCTGTCTCTTTGTAATCTGCCTAAGCTTCATAAAAATTCGTGTCAAAATAGCATTTTAAAGGAATTTGCCACCAGACTATCCTCTACATCTCTACCAAATTTTACCGAGATCCGTTCAGCAGTTTAGGCAAACTCTAACAAACATCCATCCATCTAAACTTTCATTTATATTACTGTCATAAATATTACCTATCACAGATGGGTATCTCAAGTGACGGAGCTGGGTCGCCGCTACACGTGGGTGCAGGTGTTCGAGAACAAGGGTGCGGTTATGGGTTGCTCCAATCCACACCCACACTGCCAGATCTGGGCATCTAGTTTCCTACCCAACGAACCCAGGGTTAAGGATAGGTGATTATTATTTATTTACCAGCTTTCGCCCGCGACTCCGTCCGCATTGGAATAAAAATTTTATGTGTTCTTCCAGACTATACTCTATATCTGACACATCGAGATTCGTTTAGCAATTTAGGCTACAAACTATAAAACATTTAAAATGTTAAAAAAACTTTTAGGTTATAATTAGCTGTTCCCGTGCGACTTCATTCGCATGGAATTATGAAAATTGTTTTATTGATTACATTCGTCAAATTCAATTGCAAATGTCAAAATGACATGACATGATGACAAAGCATGGCAATTTTGCTTCCTTGATGTTGGCAGCAACTTATGGTCTCTTTCCCACATTAGGGTTTTTATCCAAAATATTTACCCCCTAAGTTTAATGGCGTGAAAAATATAGTCTAAAACGTGACGTAAGTGTAGGACTTGTTAATAAAAAAAGAATCATTCACTAATATGCTGTAATTGCTGACATCTTAGGCAACAAAGAAGTGTGTGTTTACGCTTTATTGTAATAGTATAGATAGTATAGAAATAGATTAGTACTTTCAGAGTTTTAAAGCAAGAGACATTTCTATGCTCCAAACAATTTCTACTAAATCGTAAATTATTTTGTAAATAGAATCTTATTTCGTATGTTTACAATTTTCAGATGTCAATTGGATTATTATAAAAAATATGGGAAATCGATGTTAGTGGACTACGTCGAAAAAGAGCTGGAGCAAAAAGTAAGGATTATATTGAACTAGCTGTTGCCAGCGAGTCCGTCCACGCGGAATAAAAAAAAACAAAAGCAAATACCTTATGTGTTCTTACAGGCTATCCTCTACATCTATGACAAATTTCATCAAGATCCATTCAGCAGTTTAGGCTACAAACTCTAACAAACATCCATCTAAACTTGCGCATTTATAATATTAGTAAGAAGTAAGATTTCTTTAACTAAGAAACTATCTACTGCAGTGACATGCCATCCCTTTCCTACTCTTTGACAACGTTAGAGACAACATTAGTTTAATATAAGAGTTTCGACATTCTCTTCCCGTTGAAGAGTTAGGAGCAGACCCAAAACAAGGTGGTGAGGTGGAGTGTCAAGTTCGGAGCAGGATGCTTAGAGCGAAGTGGAGGAGATTGACAAAGCTGACCCCACTACTATATGGGATACAGGCTAGAAAGAGAGAGAGAGAGAGAGAAGAGTTTTGTAATAAAGTGCTACAAAAGCACACAGAAGACAGATATCAAGTGGACATTCTGCCTTCACTCTGATGTGTGTCCGTGTAGACTGAGATCCTCTTCCCTACCTTCTCTTTTTGTACGAGAAAGAGAACTGGATTTAACGGGGGGAAAGATCGCAACAGATAAAGAGAATCTGTTTCTATGCGTCTACACTTTCTACACTTCGCTATTTTGGCGAATTATTGCGGTTACCTGCTCGTATGTCGTTTATACTATTAGGTTGAAATTAATAGTTATTCTTTTTTTAATTCCAGGAACGAATAGTGATACAAAATTCGGAATGGGTGGCATTGGTGCCGTACTGGGCGGCTTGGCCTTACGAAACAATGGTGTTACCACTAAATGGCACCCCGCAGAGGATGACAGACTTGAACGCAGAACAGAAGAGAGGATTAGCTGAGATCATGAAAGAATTGACTACTAAATATGATAATCTATTCCAATGCAACTTCCCTTATAGTATGGGATGGCATGGTGAGTCGAAAAATCATTCTTCTTATTAATATAAATTTGAAAGTTTGGATGGATGGATGTTTGTAGCCTAAATGGATAGGTATTTGGAAGAACACATATGATAACTTTGTTTTTTTATTAACTCCACGCGGACGGAGTCCCGAAAACTAGTAATAATATAATTTTAGATTGTTTTCAATAGATGGCGTTGTTCTAAAATAATATGTTAGTGGCGCCACTATCGAATTTGTTAACTAACCTGAACTAATTGATTTTTCATTTCAGGCGCACCCACAGGACCATCTTCGACCCCTGGAGATTCACCCCATTGGTTATTACACGCTCTCTATCTACCCCCGCTGCTGCGCTCCGCTAGCGTGAAGAAGTTCATGGTGGGCTATGAAATGTTGGCGCAGCCGCAAAGAGATTTAACACCAGAACAAGCTGCGGGGAAACTAAGAGAGTGTAGTAATGTGCATTATAGGAATAAAAAGGAATAAAATGTAGTAGTAACGATGTTTTTTATTTTTTTTAATTACATTTCACATTTATAAATCACTAGTTTTCGCCCGCGACTCCGTCTGCGAGAGATTAAAAACAAATACAAATAGCCTATGTGTTCTTGCAGACATCTATGCTAAATTTCATCCACATCCAATCAGCAGTTTAGGCTACAAACTCTAATAAACATCCATCCATCCAAACTTTCGCCTTTACAATATAAGTAAGAAGTAAGATAAGTTATTTATATGCATAACTCTTTATTTAATTTAGAAAATATTGTAGTTAACACAAAAAACACATAAAAATGTTACCTTGTATTTAGAAACAACATCTTAATACATTTCAACATTTTTAATCATAAAACATAGTAAGATTTCAAACTGCCCAAATTCACAATCTTACAGTAACATTTGATTTTCAACTCGATTCTTCCATTTCTTTCTCCTTGATGAATTCCAGAACCTTCTTAGCTGGTGTTACATTATGTACTCGCTTCTTATGTGTATATAACGTGGCTTTCTGTTTGAATGTCTGTTCACATATATCACATGAGAGAGGTCTGTTACCCGAATGGATCACTTCGTGCTGAGTTAACGATCTTTTATCCTGGAAATCCGATTATAACGACGTAAAGCTACACACGTTAATAAATAATAAACACTGACATGTAAGTAAAAGGTTAGAGTGGGGGCATGTTATGAGAAGGGGTGAATCGCATGTAACAAGGACGTTAGTTATGAATGTGGAGGGGTACATCTGTAGAGGTAGACGTAGAAAGAGATGGATGGATTGCGTGAAAAGTGACATTTTTTTTTTTATAACATAAGGTGGCAAACGAGCAAGCGGCCACCTGAATCCGCCAAAATGGCGAAGCGACCGCTGCCCATAGACATCCGCGATCGCAGATGCGTTGCCTACCCTTATCCGATGGAGGAGGAGAAGGACATAAAGAGGGTATTTCCCCTTCCTATGCATCTCCTCCACTGTCAAATCCACTTCCCCTTCCCACCCTCTCCTTATAAGAAAAGGGTGGTAAAGAGAAAGGGACTTAAATTAGGCCTCCGGCACCACACTCATCAGACGAAACACGGAATTGTTTCCATTTGACGGCTGTCTTCTGTGTGGTCGTGGTATTACTGGGGGCGTGCCCTGCAGTGCTAAGATGTTAAAGCGGGCACTACCACTGTTAAACATGATGATACATGATCAAGAAGGGAGTGATTGAGATGACGGATGATAGAGTTATTTGGAGGACGAAACACCGGTGCGCCGACCTTACGGGAGTAGGATAAGGCAGGGGAGATGAACTGTCAAACTATACAGTCTAAAATTTTGCTTATAAACGCAGAAGTTTTTAACTGTAGAGATAAAATTTTGCCTTCACATGCGACAGTTTCAGACATCAGTTTTAAAAACAGATTTTCAGTTAAAACTGTCAGAACATCTGTAGTGGACTAAACTATGAATACTTAAACACTTATTAAGAGTACATTGCGGGTTTACTATGATTGAAATATATTACTACACATACTAAGCAAGCAATGTATACTAAAAGTGAATGTTTTGTACGTTACATTGCGGGTTTTGTATGATTCTAATATGTTACTACACGTACTTTGCAAGCAATGTATAATAAAAGTAAATGTTTTTGTACGTTACATTGCGGGTTTTGTATGATTCTAATTTATTACCACACGTACTAAGCAAGCAATGTACACTTACCGTGAATCCCTTGCCGCATTGCTGACAGACGTGGTTCTTTGGTTTCTCCTTCTTTTCTCCATGTACCCTCATTAGATGACGTTCTATATACGCTTTAGATGCTATAGGCTGGAAATATTAAATAACTAATATTTTTCCCGCGACTCCGTCCGCATTCAATTTATAATATTAGTATGATTATCTATTTAACACAGAAACGTATCAAAAATCAGTACAGGGCGTTAGTGTTGGGCGTTGTTAGGCGGCCCAGGGCGCTGGGTTGAAAAGGGCGTTACAAATCTGCAATTTTCAATCTCAGATAGGCTTATTAACTACCTAAATAGTTAAAAAGAGGGCGTCATATCTCGCCCAGGGAGTTAATAGCTTTAAAACTAATTGCTGAGAAAAGGAACAAACATTTTGCTTAAACTAGAGGGAACTAAAGCGTGAAAGGGGAACTAATGGTTTTAATTCTATGTTGACAGCAAAAGAAAGACTAACATTTCCGATACATTACCTTATCACAAATAGGACATTTATGGGATGTTTTTCCTAAATGTTGATAATTAAAGTGGTCCTGCATCGCTTGTTGTGTGGAATAGCCCTTATTGCACCTCGGACAGGGGAATCTGGGGGATGTGTGTAAATTTAAAAGATTTTAAAACTAGGTGTTGCCCGTGACTTCCCTGCAATATTAAGATAAAAAAGTAGCCTATAATATGGTCGTCTATATCAGCTACCCTTCTGTAATCCGGTCGAAATCCCAGCCGTTTTGGGAGATTACCCGGAATAAACGCGGCTTGCAGACAGACAGACAAAAATTTTTTAAATGCGATTTTCGTTATCAGCAACTCAAATACATCATCTTACCGAAATCTGGAATTGTTCTTTTGTTGTTACAGACACTCCAATTTTATTATATGTATAGGTAGACTAGATGACAACTAATATCATGGAATTTAAAATAAAATTGACAGTAGTAGTAGCAGAAAAACACAAAATTTCACATTTATTATGAAAAATATTAACTAATTTTTTACTTTTATGTTAGGGAGGTGACATTTAACTGTGAATTGTGATCATTAATGACCCCTTACTTTGTGTCCACTAGTGACCACCAAAACAGTGTTGCTATTACTGTCCATTTAGTACTTATGGCCATTATTGAACCTTAGTATGTACGGCCATTAGTGACCACTTACTCTGTGCGATTACTAGGTACCACTTTCTGTGGCCATTAGTGACCACTTACTCTGTGACTACTAGTGACCTCCCAAAATCTGTGGCTATTACTGTCAATTTAGTACTTATAGCCATAAGTGACCACTTAGTATGTACGGCTATTAGTGACTACTTACTCCGAGCGAATACTAGATACCACTTTGTGTGGCCATTAGTGACCACTAACTCAATGTAATATTAGTGATCACTTAATTTACTCTGTTTCACTTACTTGAGTATCTGATCCGAAGCATGCGCTCTAGAATACTTAAGATGTCCCTGATACGTCATCAAAGTTGAGAAAACCTTATCACAATCCTTGCATTCATATGTTTGTTTGTTCTCATGTCTTTGTAAGTGGTACTTAAATTGTAAAACTCGTACCATTTTGTGACAGATGGTACATTCCTGACGTGGTAAGGGACCTTCGTGTAACCTATACGGATATTTAGTGTAATTATTTCGTAAAATCTTAAATACATTTGAAAAACATTAATCTTATTAATATTATAAACAGGAAAAATTTGTATGTATTGAAATAAAAACTTTTAGCGAAAATTAAAAACGGCTCAACTCACGCTTTTATCCTCCGGTGACGGCACCGACGAGTTTCAAACCCTTCGGGGGTCCTTCTTCAGAGCGAGTATTAATTAGCTATTGTTCGCGGTCACGTTTTTAATTTTCGCATACAGTAATGTCTCACGATGGTTTAAACAATTTAAATCAAAAACTACTGGGCCAATTTTAAACATTCTTTAAACGTCAGAAAGGAAATTTATCTGTGAGTAACATAGGCTATATTTTTTTAATTTCACGCGGGCGAATTCGCGAGCAACAGCTAGTTTATTGAAATGACTACACAAAATCAAATATCTCCCTTGCTCGGTAAATGCCAGGTACTGGAATGCAGTTAGTGTTTACATGCCTGTAGCAGGCATGCATTTGCCAGCTACTGGTATTTGCATACCCGCAGTTACAACTCGTTACGTTGAAAATCAACAATAACCAACGACTCAATTGAGTACATTTTTCTAACTAGCTTTCGCCCGCAACTCCGTTCGCATGGAATTAAAAAATAAAAGTAATTAGGCCATATGTTCTTCTAGACTGTGCTCTACATTATCAAGATGCGTTCAGCAGTTTAGGATACAAACTCTAACAAACATCCATCTAAACTTTCACAATTATAATATTAGTAAGATTATTCAACTATTACTAGAAAATACCTTAAATGTCCTATCAAAGTAGTTCTATTGACGAATTTCTTCTGACAATGGTCACATTGAAGACGCTCCCTGTGATGTCTGTCCATATGAGATTTACGGTATCGTGTATGCCTGGAAAAAAAAACATAATAATTAATTAGTTTCGTATCGAGTTCCGATGTGACAAAAAAAGTCTAAATACCGTTACGCTACTGTTATTACCGTCCGAAGCAAAGAGAATATAATCATTACGTTTTAAGAGACAGGAGTGCCTAACAAATAGATTAAATTTAATTTGAAATTTCAGATTTCATGTAAGTTTCTATATTCAAAGAGTTTTATTTCGTTCAAACTACACCATATTGAAAAATGTCAGTTTCTTCACTTCTACTATTCTTGATAATCGCATTTAAAATTTTTGTCTGTCTGTCTGTCCGCAAGCCGCGTTCGTTCCAGGTAAACTCCGAAACGGCTAGGCCAATTTCGAACGGACTTTGACTGAAGGGTAGCTGACATAGATGGCCATATTATAGGTTACTTTTTTTTAAATACCCCATTGTCAAAATGGCGACCGGACCGCTATCTCTGAAACGGGTGAACCGATTTGGACGGGACTTTGACTGGAAGGTAACTGGTAAGAAGTAGATGCAAGCAGAAATGTTATAAACGACCATTTCTTTTTAATTCCAAACTAACGAACTTTGCGGGCAACAGCTCGTAGCAAATGAATTAATTTTTTTATTTAATAAAAAGAGCATATCCCACTTCTCAACTACATATAGAGGAAAAGACACGGCGGCCATAGGTGGCGGCGAGGTACACAATCCGCCTTTATACGAATACCGTCAATTAAATACTGCTTTGTAAATGTCCAATTTTTCAAACTTGGACGGGTAAAAATCGCTCCAGTTTCATAGAATCGTTTTTTATATTGTTGTCGCGCCAGGATAGTCCGAAGTGAGAATTATTAGATAAATTAATTCTAATACTCACTCAAAGTGCATGTCACAGTAAAGACATTTGTACCCAGATTTTGTCTTTGACAAGAGTTTTCTCAACCTTTTAGCCTCTTCATTGATATCTTGCGCTTCCTTGCTCTGTTTCTGTCTACGCTAGAACAGAAAGTGATATTTTGTATTCATCAGTTTACTGTAATAGACAATAATGGACATCTATTATCTATGCAGATCCATTTTGACAGTAACGCAAAAACATTTTTAACCTCATTAAAATAATATAAAACAAACACTAAATATAGCTTAGTAAAATAAATAAAGCTTAGTAAAATACATACGTGAAAACAGAGTCCGTATCGATAAAGCCGTTTATGAGATTAACAAGCACAAACTCACGGACAACCCGACAAACCAAAAATCATTGTTTTGAATTAGATAGTGTTATTTTTTCCGATGGACCTATTGCAAATACTGTCAAAACAGACCAATTATATTGCTGTGCTGTTTACTCACCATCCGCATTGGTCGAATCTTGACAGGCTTTGAGTCTGTCTCGGTTTCTATATGTGTCTGCACGTGCAGCTGCGCGCAGCGCACGCTCGCCTCGGCGTGCCCGCAGAGCCGGCACACGAGCCGCACGTAGTGGCCCTGCACGTGCTGCGACACGCGCCCCTCCTCCACGTACGAGTAGCACACCTTGCACGGCGCGGTGCCCTCCCTCTGCGCGACGCGACGGGGGAAATATCTCAGCTGTGCTAAGCCATGCAACTACTGTGACGTCACAGGCACACATGCTGCACGTAGTGGCCCTGCTCGTGCTGCGCTCTCAATACATCAAATTTGACAATTTTTGTTAATGTGTAAGGACAAAGTTGGTCCAAAAATGACTTATAGTCTGACAATTTCTGTAGTCTCTAAATTACAAATATTATATGCAAAATTGATTTAAAATACAGCAAATGCTTTTATCTTAAATAAACGAAGAAAAAAAATTATGTATTACAGTTCGGCAATGAATGTCATCTACATGTGACTTACAGGTTTGTGTGCACATTCGTAATGCTCCTCAAAATGCTGTTTAGTATAGAAGCCAAGGATACAATTTTCACACTTGTATGCAGCATCCGCATAGTAAATTTTCTTCTTTGCTTCTTCCCTAAATATATCAAACGTATTAAAGTAGTCTTCAATATTCTACTTCTTTTAATAGATCTTGCTCCTTATATGACAACTTGAAAATAACACTAAATGCCCATTGACAAATAAAGCAAGTTTTTTGCTGTGGCATACAATAATTGTTGCAAACATAATATGGAAGATATGATTTTTTTAAAATACAAGATAATTAGTGCTTCAATTTTATTATATGTAATGGCAAGAAAATTGGTGTAAATGGGCCTTAAGTCCTAAAAATATTAAATAGAGAAATATATAAAATAAACAACTACTTTAAAATACTTTAATAGCAAAAATTGTCATCTAAAGGACACCAAGAAAATACGGCAATAAATGTCCATAGATGACAACTATTGCCTAACGGTGACAAACTTACCTAAAAGCAAGCATGTCATCTTCATTCATATATTCCGTTATATATCCACACCTTAGATCAGATTTATTTTTAATACGTTTCTTTTTTCTTTGCTCTTCTATCACAGGTTCTGTGAGAAGTGACTTTTCTAGTAATGTTGACTGATTAGGGTCTTTTATTGTCCTGCAAAATACTAATAGTAACTATCTATACTATTATAATAAAGCGTAAACACACACTTCTTTGTTGCCTAAGACGTCAGCTATTACCGCATATTTTTGAATATTCTCTTTTTAATAAAAAGCCCTACACTGACGTCACGCTTTAGGCTATATATTTTCACGTCATTAAACTAAGGGGGTAAATATTTTGGATAAAAACCCTAATGTGGGAAAGAGACAATAAGTTGCTGCCAACATCAAGGAAGCAAGGTTGCCATGATTTGACATCATGTCATTTCATTTTGACATTTGCAATTGATAATTTGACAAATGGTAACAATCAAATGAAATTTTTATAATCCTATTATAGTGCCTTGATTGATATCACCAGCTACCGGTCATTTGTCAATCACAGTGGATTCCGTCTATCTAGTTAACTGCTACTCAAAATTTTAGTCTTGTTTTATATGCTTTCAATTATCTTCAACCTTGGCGTTGGCGAAATCATCGAAATAACAATGGGGTCAACTAATCATTAAAAGAAGAAGCACTTTTTATAATTTTATGCAATTGAACGCACAAGCGATAATTCAGTTGTACCCTTAACCACTAAACTATAAGCATTTCAAAAAGTCATATTTTAAAAAAAAAACATTTCATACCCAAATATATGTGTTTCTGGTATATTGTGATCTTTCTGCTCTATGTCCACAGCTAAAGGTTCTATTTTAACCTCTATATGTGATACTGAATCATTATCCAATATGCCTGGAACTAGAAAATTATTGACATAAGTGGACCAGAATGGAATCCAAGATAATGTCAAAGGTTCAAAAATTTATAGGTAATAGCAGGGGTTCAACAAAAAAAGTGATATTTTGAAAAGATTTCTCGGCAACACAGATACATTTTAAAAATTTTAGCACCACTAGAAGACTTCACCACATTAATTTATTTTTTTGTTACTTGCCTCCTAAAGTATCTTCATGTCCAGTATCTTTCTCAGTTATATCTACAGGTTCATTTTTTACTATCTCCAATGTGTTAATGTCTTGTGAACATTCTGTTTGCATTGTATTTTCAACATATACCTTGTCATATCCTAACTTTAATAGTATCTGCAGAGAAGATAGTGGCTGAGAAAATAATGCAAGGTTCGGGTCCTAAAAAAATAAATGAAATATAACTGGCAACTTCATTTTTTTAAACAAAGAAAAATGTTTGGCTGTATGTTTCCATGACCATTATTATCTCTGGTTTTAATAGAGAATAAAAGAGAAAGGAATATGTCTTTCTACACATTTTACAGTGGATATATTGTTAATAATCGTATCTTAGTCCTTTAATTTCAACACCTAATTTAGTACCTACCGATTCACCGATTCCTCGAAGATGTTCTTGAGCTGTTTGGACTTGCCGTTTGAAGTTGTTGAACTTTTTCAACATAGCAATACACTCCCAACATGCCTCTAAGCTCTGATCAGATAGATCCAACTAGAAATAAAAATAGTTATTATTTACTTTCATATATTTGTAGAATGATAGTAAATTTTATTATAAAACTCTAATTAAAAAGAACATTTATGGCTATGAAACTTTTTTGGCAGTAACTTTTTAGACAACTTCATTTTCATAAAAAAAAACGATTATTTTTTTTTTCATGTTATGCATCAAATAGAATTCTAATTAGATTAAATAATGTAAAATTAAAACATTCATGCAATACTTACATCAGTCGTGAATTCTGATATTATCAGTCGATAAACTTGATATAAATCCGATTGTTCATTTAATATTAGGGTAGTACGATCAGAACTGAGGCATGTTCTGCAGATTTTACGTTTCAATCTCGAAGTTTTCAATGTATCGTTCATTTTCAATGTTAAACATTCAATTTGTAAATCAAAACAATTATATCAAAATTTGTTTAACAAGATTTAATTTCACGACACAACAAAATGGCTACCCGTGAACTATAACATGACATGGAATGCATTTCCCCCGCCCACGCCCTTCTTTCCTACCCGCAATATCAGACTTTGGCATGTACAATGAGCAACAAAAGTTTGTCTGTAATAGTTTTCGTATTTAAAATGCTTATTTATTAAAGCGGCAACTTTGCACTTCTATTAATGTGTTTAAATATTTCTATTTAGTTCTTCATTACATTCTAATTGTTATTGTTTCAACTATTTGTATATTTGTACAGTATATTCGTAGATGTTAACAATAATTGCTGTTCTTAGAAAATCAATTGTGTAATAATCAACTAGCATTGGGCGTTAGTTTCAATAAAAAAAAAATCAAGTAACGAGCAAAACAAAGTAAGTTCAAAATCCATTAATCCAATTGTACTTTGTAATTTTTTGATGCACTGTATGGTGTATAACATCACCGTCAGAAGGTCTTTTGTTATTGGATACGAGCAATACTTGAGTGTTGCTATGTTCAAACTTGTCAACGATAAAATAAAAATCTCTTTCGCGTTTGAGATTCGAAATATATAAAATATGAGTCTTGAAATTAAAAAAATACTTTTTATAAATAGTACTCTGGACATATATTTAAAAAATATTAAAATCTTAACTTACCACAGGCTAAAAATATAATTAGAATCAACGCTCAAAATCTGTCAAACAAAAGATCAAAAGACAACAACAAAATGGCCGAAGGAAAGGAATAAAGTTTCCATTGCTTGTAAAATATTTTTATTAACAATTTAAGAGTGTTGTGCTAAAATCATGAAGGAAATTAATATAAACATCGAAGGATACAATGTAAACGGCATTTGCGTCGGATGTCTTAATTACAATCGCAAAATGTTTTATCGCGACGAAGTTAAGGAATTTTATAAATTATGGGCTAATATAGATGTAAGTGCTTTTAACTATATTAAATTAAACACAAATAAATAATTAATAGTATTAAAAGTATACTTATGATCTATCAAGTACATATTCATGTCCAAAACTACGTTTAATTTAAATATTTCTCTCAGAACAAAAAACCTTCGATCCGTCCTTATTAAGTTTTTTTTTTAATTTCTGAATATTTGAAATAATGAGTAATTACATGTCATTATTATTGGATAAATACAATCAAAATTTACATTGCTTTATAATCATTTATAAAATAATTTTTACATAATTAAAAATATAATTAGTAGGCTATATGTTCTTCCAATATTCTACATCATTGCCAAGATCTGGAAATACATAGTAACAAACATTCATCTAAACTTTGACATTTTAAAATTATATTTAACTAACTTGCTTGCGTCTTCATCCGCTTGATTATTAATAGTGCTATGGTAAAATAGCTTTTTAATGGTGAAACAATCGTAGAAATCAGCCAAGCAGTTTATGAGTTATTTCAATACATACAAAAATACAAATCTTTTCTCTTTAAAATATTAGTATTAATATATTTAATAATTATCTTCCAGGTCCCAGATGGCTTAACTATCCAAGTGTGTTGGGAATGTCTTGCCTCAGTGACCTCCGCAGTTAGATTTCGACATCAAATACATAAAGCATATCAAGTGCTAATAGAATATTCAAAAAAGGTAAATCTAAGAAAAAAAATTATTATTTTCCCTACCTTTACAAGCTAAGATATTGTTTGCTAAGTATATATAAAATTGTCTATAACTAAAATTAAAAATAATTCAACAATGCCTTTCTTAAAAACCTCTCTTCACTGTATACTATAGAAGTTGCTTTCCGTTGTCTGTCCTTATGTCTGCTTACATCTTTAAAACTAACTAGCTGTTCCCGTGCAGCTTCTTCTGCATAAACTTATGAAAATCATATTTTATTGTTTACATGTGTCAAATAATCAATTGCAAATTTCAAAATGACATGACATGATGAATAAGCATGGCAACCTTGTTTTCTTGATGTTGGCAGCAACTTATGGTCTCATTCCCACAGTAGGGTTTTTATCCAAAATATTTTACCCCTTAGTTTAATGGCGTGAAATATATAGCCTAAAGCGTAACGGGAGTGTAGGGCTTTTTATAAAAGAAGAATTATTCAAAAACATGCTGCATTTACTGACATCTTAGGCAACAAAGAAGTGTGTGTTTATGCTTTATTATAATAGTATATATCAATGGATTTAATTAGATTTAATTTAATGAATAATTTAAAGGAAGGTTTATATGTTAAATTAATTAATTTAGTAGAGAAATACCGATAAGAGAGTACCATACATTAGAAGTTTGTAATGTATTGTAAATAAAAATTGCACTTTCATTGTTATCTTACTTCTTATTATTTCAATATTTCAAATGAGAAAATTTAGATAGATGGATGTATGTTAGAAATTGTAGCCTAAACGGCTCAAATTTGACATAGATACATAGGATAGTCTTGAAGAACACAAAGGCAATTTTATTAATTCCTCGCAGATGGTGTCGCGGGCGAAAGCTAGTAAACAATAAATAAATAACTACTAAGGACAAAACTCAAACTCCATGCTGATTATGTCAAAAGATAATGGCTTAAAATTTTATTTAAATATTTTTTTCTTTTACAGCAAATGTTTTTAAACTCTCCGAATGATTTAACGAAGCATTCTATCAATCGACTTACTTCTACAAACATTGTGTATGATGTTGTAGTGCAGCAGTTCAAAGAAGAAGATAATATTATAGATAATGTCAAAATAGAACATGAGACAGACAAATATGAACAGAATTTTGGTGAGTAATAGTGTTAAAAAGTACAATCGCGGAAATCCGCGGTGTTCCACTTTAAATTGACTTGATCCTTGTAATGAGATTTAATCTGCCTCTTATAAACAATCCAATTAGCATGGTAACAAGGTACCGGTGTCTACCACTGGACTGACCTTCCATACAGACACATTTAAAACTTCCCAAATGTACATAGACTACTTTTTTGAAAGTCCGCATGGTGGAAGGCTTGTAATATATGATTACTAGCTTTCGCCCGCAACTCCGTCCGCGAGGAATTAAAAAAAATGTAAACGAGTAGCCTATATGTTCTTTCAGACTATTCCCTACATCTATACTAAATTTCATCGAAATCCGTTTAGCTGTTTAGGCTACAAACATCCATCTAAACATTTACATTTGTAATATCAGTATGATAGTATGATTTATTTTATTATTTTCACCTTTTTAGATTCATTAGATTTACAATTGGAAGCAGTAGGAAGTCCAAAGAAAGAAGATGTAACGGATTACTTTGATAATTTTCTAGAAGATTCCGCACATCAAAATCATTCCTCTGACGACGATATACAACTTTCTAAATTGAAGACGAAGAAGAAAAAAAGAAGGAATAAATTGGGCAAAAGTAAAAAGAAAGTAAAAGATGATTTGTTACCAGTGACTTTTGTATCTGAGGTTTGTTAATTTTTACATGACACTAGCTTTCGCCCGCGATTCCGTCCGCGTGGAATTAAAAAAAAAAATTGAGTAGCCTATGTGTTCTTCCAGACTACCCTTTACATCTATACCAGATTTTAACGAAATCGGTTCAGCAGTATAGGCTACAAACTCCAACAAACATCCATCTAAACTTTCACATTTATAATATTAGTATGATAGTTTTTTTTATTAGGCTTACTCTAGTAGATTAGTTAAGACTGAATCCGAATCGGTTAAGCTGTTTCTGAGCTTAGCAGACACAAACACACAGACAAATCTTCTTATAATATATATTCCATTTTTTAAGTTATTTTTTCTATAACTTTTATTAAATACTAGCTGTTGCCCGCGACTTCGTCCGCGTGGTATTAGAAAACATACGATCTATATAAATAACAAAAAGCTACGTATCCCGGGAACCGGGCATTTCTCGGGGATGAAGCTTATCCCATGTGTACTCCAGACTTTGTTTTATATCTGTGACAAATTTCAATAAGATATGTTGAACCGTTGCAGAATGATCGAGTAAACATTAAAAAACTAAATTAATGAATCCCACGGGAACCGTAACTATTCCCGTGATAAAAAGTAGCCTATGTGTTCTTCTAGACTATGCTCTAAACCTGTGTAATTTCACGGAGATTCGTTCAGCCGTTTAGGCTACAAACGCTAACAAACATCCATCCATCGTAACTTTGGCATTTATAATATTTATATGATTATTATTATTAATTATTTCAGGTTGATAATAATACAGAAGATACAGTTAAGAGTTCTAGAAAGTTAAAGAACTTGCCAGAAGATTATGTAGAACTGTATACAATGAGTGAAGAAGAAATGTGGCAAGTCCGTGCTCGGGATGTCACCAGAGAGGAATTTGCCGCACTCAAATATAAATGTGACGATTGTCTTACAAGTTTTAATACGGAGAAATTAATGAATTATCATAAGAATGGAAAACATGTTTTGGTGAGTTTCTATTGTCAAAACATTTTTATGAAAACATTGTTTTATTAGGTATTTTGCGTTCCGATCGTACCACTCCATCAGTCTAATGGGAATTTTATTTACTACTAGCTTTAGTCCGCGACTACATCCGCGTAAAATTAAAAAAAAATCTGTACCAAATTTAATCGAGATCCGTTCAGCAGTTTAGGCCACAACTCTAACATGACCCTCCCTGGATCCGCCGTTGTCTAAGGTGCACACTGTTGTATCTGAAGACTTTCCAGTTAAAATCAGATCAATATTTTAACTGCCATTTAACTTTGAAACTTGTAACAAAGCATCTAAAACACTACGGGCCTGTCCCACCACTGACTGATAGAGTCTCAGATAGGTTAAGAATAACACTGTCAGATAAGGGAACAAAATCCGATATTTTCATCTCACATTTTACAAGTTGGTTGTCAATTTACAATTTGGTGGGACAGGCCCTAAAATTTGCGATGTTAAACGACAGAAAAGTGAAGCGGATGTCCAATGTGACGTGTGTAAGGCGTATTTCATTACACGTGACAATATGTCTTGTCACCGCGCGCTGCATCTGACAGCGTTCAGATGTCGCGTATGCAATGACGTCACAACACGCAAGCGCAGTATACTGAAGCACGTGCGGGCGGAGCACGGCGCGCCGGGGACTGCGTGTGCGACTTGCGGGAAGACTTTCTCGTAAGTCATTTTTCAGGATACATTCGCCAAAATGGCGAAGTGACTTGGCATTCATAAAGAGGGTGTTCTTCCTATGCCAAATCCACTTGCCCTACATTCTAGCAAACTGTTAGTACCTAGTACAAGGTCATCATCATCTCCCCTGCTTTATCCTACTCCCGTAGGGTCGGCGCAACAGGTTTTCGTCCTCCAAATCACTCTATCATCCGTCATCTCAGCCATCACTCTCTTCTTGATCATGTCACCTTTCACGCAATCCAACCATCTCTTTCTACGTCTACCTCTACCGGTGTACACTTCCTCATTCATAACTAACGTCCGTCTTGTTATTTTCGAGTATGGAACACCCTTACCTTGTTTTGGCTTACTTATTTTGCGGCCTGTCGCCAAGTACAAGGTACTAGAATTATTCTATCAACTTCAAGGTTGCGATGTAGGGTAGGTGAATTTGACATAGGAAGAACATCCTCTATATGAATGCCGGGTCACTTCGCTATTTTTATTAGGAAGCGAAACAAAAATCAATACAAAGCAGCTCATAAATCAAATGTATTATTACGAAAAAAGTCGGTTATATACACGGCTAGTTACTTTTTATTGTACCTTCGTTTGCACTCATCACCATCATCACCAGCTCACTATACGTCCCCACCGAGGGGCTCGGAGCCTACCCTAAGTTAGGGTGACTAGGCCATAGTCAACCACGCTGCACTGCGGGTTGGTTGACTTCACACATATCTTTGAATTTTTTCACAGATATGTGCTGCATCACGATGTTCTCCTTCACCTTAAGAACGTCGGGTAAATTATGTACATATGAAAATTCGAAAAATCGAAAATCACATTGGTACAGCGGGATTCGAACCCAAGACCTGTAGATTGAAAGTCAAGTGCTTAAACCACTGAGCCACCGACGCTCTTCGTTTTCACTCTTTGCTATCTAATTAGTGTTAAGAACAAAATTAGTACCGTGCTGTAGAATTGGCGCAACACTAGATTATCTGCATAAACGTCACGTCCCTAGCTGACAGCTGTCAATGTCACTACAAGTATGTATTTGGCGCGCATCCTGAGTCCTGACGAGAAGTGTTGCTCTGAGTTTAAAGCGACAGTATCAGTTAAAAAAGTTGTCTAAAATTAGTTATTTGCAAGAAAATGCGGAGTTTGTTTCGTTGCATTGAACAAGGCAATTTTTTCTTAACTAGAATACCGCTGATTTCCGCGACTGTACATTTAATTTTCAACCTTATGGTATATATTTTACAGTTCAGAATCGAAGTTGAGCTATCACAGAGGCGTGTGCCATAAGGAGAGTCCGCAATGCGACTGTTGTGGGAAAGTGTTTGCTAGCAAATTGACACTTAAGTATCACTTAAAGTAAGTATAACATTTTTTTTATAATATGGCAAACAAGCAAGCGGCAATCGAAATGGAAAGCGACCGCTGCACATAAACATCCGCAATTGCAGCGCTGCCTACCCTTCATTGACGGAGGAGACGCACATAAAGAGGATATTTCCCTTCCTATGCGTCTCTTCCACCGTCAAATCCACTTTTCCTTCTCATCCTTTCCTCTTAAGAAAAGGGTGGAAGGGGAAAGGGACTAAAATCAGTCCTCCGGCAGCACACTCATCAGACTTGCGGAATTGCTTCCACTTCACGCCTGTCTTGTGTGGTCGTGGTATTACACCGGGCGTGCCCTGCAGTGCGAAGATGTTAAAGCGGGCACTACCATTGTTAATTACCACATTATGCACAGACTAAGTTATCTGACCTGTTACTTGAGATTGTAATTTTGTTTCAGAATACTAACACCGAAACAACCGGAAGAAAAAGTACATATACCATGCAAAGGATGTGATAAAGTTTTCTTCTCTAAAAAGAGTTACAGAGCTCACGTGTAAGTAACACATATGAACACTTTCTTGAAAATTTTCGTGTTATGTCCCCAGTAAATAAATATTCCTGTTGTTTACTACTTCCATATAACAATTGCATATGTTCAATTACTATTAATGAATATAAATCCCATACCAAAAACATTTAGTCCTCGAATCTATTCTCTCTGGCCTAAATTCCTTACTAGTATATTCTCCTTTGGTCCTTTAAGTCATAACTGTTAGTACAGACGTTACATAAGGGCGAGTTGGGACGACCCATCAGGGCGTCGGCCATAACAGGGCGCCATGGGCCAGGGCGTTTGTAATGCTAAAGCCAGTACTGTCTCTCAGTCTTATTTCGGTTCACACTTGGCCAATACAGTTGGACAGTACAATGAACATTGGACAGTAAAATGAACACAAAGTCCATACAATGCCTATTCTGCGCTGGCCAAGTTTGAACCAGGATATATTCCATACAACAAATGGTCCTTCGAGCTAGATATATTTGTGTAGTGTGATCCACAACGGCGAGACATACCCTTGTCCGATCTGCGGTAAGCAGTTCCAATGGAAACGCAACCTCGCGCGACACACGCGTAACCACCGCGAGCGCGACGCCGGCGCAACACACGAGTGTCGCGAGTGCGGGAAGACGTTCTCCAGCAGGGATTGCTATAATAACCATATGCGGCTGAGCAAACGACACGTACCGGAACACGCGTACATGTGAGTATACATGTTTCGCCAAAATGGCGAAACTGTGTCAGGTTTCGCCAAAATGGCGAAGTGACAAACGACACGCGGCAAGTGTGAAGTATTTAATTAAAAGCTTTTGTCATGTCAATCCTAAAGTCGGTGGTACATGAATATTTTTTTATTATCCCGTCGTTTCAGCTCAGTACTACTTAATTTGTTATACTAAAAACCTCGATAACTTAAACCTCGGTAACTTAAAGACCTCTAGAACTTCAAAAAAATAATATGTTTCCTTCCCATCAGAGCCCAAAATTTCTACAACTTAAAATACGCAACCTCTTTACTTAAATAAGTAATCTGTATTGGCCCAGTAACTTAAATGTTTCCACAACCTCTATAGCATAAAATCATTTGTCAATGAGTCATTTTCAACGATGTGCAAATCTAAACTTCGGTATTTATTGCTTGCACGATCATTTACAGAGCAATGTAACAAAAGATAATGTATTCTCCTCACTATTTGTCATTGAAAAACAAACCAATTAACTGTTAATTATTTAAAACCAAAGAAAATCACAGACTTTTTTAAGTAGACCAAACCTGCAATATAAAAAGACAATTCTGAAAGTGGAACACCGCGAATTTCCGTGCATGAGTATTTAATTTTTTATTTCAGCCACGCTTGTAATTACTGCGGTAAAAAGTTTGCATCTAAATGGTGTATGGTTGATCATATTGACTGGGATCATCTCAAAGTAATAAAATATCAATGCAGTGTGTGCTTAAAGGTAACATAATAATCTATACTATTATAATAGAGCGTAAACACCCACTTCTTTGTTGCCTAAGATGTCAGCAATTACACGATATTTTTTAATAATTCTCTTCTTGATAAAACGCCCTACACTTACATCATGCTTTAGGCTATATATTTTCACGCCATTAAACTTAGGGGGTAAATATTTTTGATAAAAACCCTAATATGGGAAAGAGACTATAAGTTGCTGCCAACATCAAGGAAGCAAGGTTGCCATGGTTTGTCATTATGACATCACTTTGACATTTGCAATTGATTATTTGGCACATGTAAACACATGGGAACAGCTAGATCTTATTTAAATGTATCATTTTTGTAAATAAACCTTGAATGTGTTAAAATATATGCTAACCAGCTATCGCGATTTTGCGTAGAACTAGAAATAAAAGCAAAATATGTATTTGAGGGCTTGTCCCAACACTGGCTGATAGAGGCTCAGATAGCTTATGACGTCACTGTCAGATAAGGTAACACAATCCGATGTTTCAATCAAATATTTTACACGTTGGATTGTTATCAGACTATTTATATTATATTCATAGCATTTCAGGTTGTTAACTCCATCCATCCATTTCCGCAATTATAATGTTAGTAAGATTATTGTATATTTCTAGGCATTTAAAACAGCAAAAATAATGGTCGCCCACATGAATAATATACACGAAGGTAAAAAGAATAAAGAACCAGAAACGGAACATTTGTGTGAAATATGCGGGAAATCTTATAAAGTGAGTAGAAATACCTAGAAAATCTAGATTTAGTTATGATATACAAAAAGCCCTACACTTACTTATCTTTAGGCTATATATTTTCATGCCATTAAACTTAGGGGGTAAATATTTTGGATAAAAAACCCTAATGTGGGAAAGATACCAGAAGTTGTTGCCAACATCAAGAAAACAAGATTGTCAAGGTTTGTCATGTCATGTCATGTCAGTTTGACATTTGCTATTGATAATTTGACAAATGTAAACAATGAAATAAAATTTCCATAATTCCATGCGAATGAAGCCGCACGGGAACAGCTAGTCTATGATAAATTTCGAACATATATTATGATCTAACGTAGTTTTACTTTTTATTTCTTTAATAAGTCACAATTAATATTTTTTTTATTGACCTCCGCTTCCGCTTCCGTTAAACTCCGCTTCTGCAGAGGCGAAATCATTCGCTTCCGCATCCGCTTCTGTTAAACAGACCTCCGTTACAACCCTAGTCTAAACATCAATTTGCCCATGTCCCTACGGAGGGTCAGTACATAGTTACTGCTTCCATACATTCCCATTATCCATCATATCTAATGGTAATCTTAAACAGTAACTAAAATTAATATTCTTTTTTAGTCTGTTAAAAGATTAAAAGGTCATGTATGGGCAATGCATACAAATCGTTCATCGACAAAGACATTTAAATGCAAATTATGTCCGGCAACATTTACTTGGCAAACTTCAATATATAAACATATGAAAATGATGCATGACTCCAGTAAGAGGAATAAGGTAATCTATACTAATATAATAAAAAGGGGAGATTTTTATTTTCATACTAGCTTCCAACCGCGACTCCGTCCGCGTGGTGTTAATAAAAAAGAAAGTAGCCTATGTGTTCTTCCAGACTATCCTCTACATCTATGACATTTTTCAACCAGATCCGTTCAGCCATTTAGGCTACAAACTCTAACAAACATCAATCCATCCAAACTACTACATTTATAATATTAGTATGATTTTTATGTATTTAATTCATGTAAAAACTACTGGTCCGATCTCAAAAATTCTTTTACCTGATGAAAGGTAATTTATCTGTGAGTAACATAGGCCATATTTTTATGTATTCTGTACATATATTCTGTACTAGTATTATAAAGAGGAAAGATTTTTATTTTTGTATGTATTGAAATTACTCAAAAACTACTAAACCAATGCTATGTTATTACTGAGTAATACAGGCTATGTTTTTTTTTTATTTTGTGCGGAAAAAGTCGCGAGCAACAGTTAGTATACTATATAACATACAGACTTAAAAAAATATTGTATCACAGAATCTGGCCATTTACAAAATTGAAAGTAGTCTGTGTTCTCACAGACTATTCTCTGCATCTATGGCAAATATCATCAAGATCCATTAACCAGTTTAGGCTGCAAACTCTAACAAACATATATGTAAACTTTTCCATTTATATTTGTTAAATAAATTTACTTTCACAGCAAACAAAATTAGCTACAGTGAAGAAGCAAGAATTATACCCGGAGATAGAATTAACAAATAGAATGCAATATTTTCAGCAGAATTTAGCGAATAATCTACAAAATATGGTACAAGTACAACCAACACCAATACAAATTGTACAAAATATTGTGTAATAAATGTTATGGAATTAAAAAAACTTTTTTATTATCTGCATTTATCTTAATTAATGGAAATATGAGATGTAAGAGTGTAGGTGGCTCAGTGGTTTAAGCACTTGACTTGTAATCTACAGGTCTTGGGTTCGAATCCCGCTGTACCAAATGTGATTTTCGATTTTTCGAATTTTCATATTTACATAATTTTCCCAATGTTCTTACAGTGAAGGAAAACATCGTGGGGAAACCTGCACATATCGGTGAAGAAATTCAAAGATATGTGTGAAGTCAACCTACCCGCACTTGGCCAGCGTGGTTGACTATGACCTAGTCACACTTAGGGTAGGCTCCGAGCCCCTCAGTGGGGACTTATAGTGAGCAGGTGATGATGAATGGAAATGTGATCACAAGTCACTGGCTGATGTTTTGCTGTCGACCATTTATAATCAGATATATAGAGACTTAGTAAACAATGTGTTCTTCCAGACTATTTTCTACATCTATGACAAATAAAGAAATCTTATCTGTTGGACATATCGAGTAACAAATATCCATCCATCTAAACTTTAATATTATTAGTCGAATTTTCAAGAGGATCAGTACTTACATTATGAAATCTCGAAGCTCGGAACCTACCCAAGTAAGTAATGAATGGCATAGTCCAACATGCTGGTCCAGTTGATAACTTTAACACATATGAAAGGGGTAAATAAAAGAAAATCAATATAAAAAGAGATTATTATCTTAAATACAATTTATCTATACATTATTTCTTATTTTTATTCTGTGGGTTTCTACCAGTGTTTCCGCCGCCTCGGGCCAACGGCGCCGGTCTGCCGCGGTTACCGAACGCACCGCGACTTCCTCCGCGACCAGATCTCATATTCTGACCGCCGCGACCTTTTGAAACTTCATTACGACCACGAGCTTTGATTTGAGACTCTTCTTTCACCATATCTATAACCTCGTCTGGTATTCGAAGGTATTTGATTGTACTACCACGTATATAACATTCTGGCATCCTCCAGAACTTATCACCGTCTCTGGATGTACAAATTACTTCTCGTAAATTTATATTCATCCAATTATCGCAACTAACGAGGTGGCCGTTGTATGTTTCACCATTCTTCAATTCGACCAACATCGGATGGTTCTGTGCTGTCCTTAATAATGACAATGGCAGCATATTTAAGTGATTATTGCACTTTTATATTAAACTATTAAAACTTAAGTGTACTTTTAAGTTTTTATATTTATTTGTTTACCGCACTTACAGCTTACAGTAATGACAGTGACAATGACGTTTTACACTTTTTTAAATTTTCCTATGCAAGATAATGTTGCTATCCTTAAAACAAAATGACAAAATAAAGGTGTTTATTTTGTAAATAAAAAAAATTGAATATGTTGTAAACAATTTCAACTTAAACTCAATTTGTAAAAATAATGTGCCTAATATAATAAGTATTTACCTGAAAGCTTTACACTAAATCATAATTTGATTTGCATTATCAGATTTTAGCGTCCTTTAGCGGGGAATTCCCATAAGACAGATTTCATAAAATCATAGACAATATACACGCTTTAAACACTATCAAAACAACAATGTAAGCTTTATCACTATTACGTGATTATAATATTACAAGTAAGTCTTTGTGTTTGTATTACTACTGTACTAGCCATGAAATCCTTTTTTTTTAAAGTAGTAAAATGTTATACGATTCTGATAAGATCCTACTTATTGTTGAAAATGACTAGAACACCTTAAAGACACTCACAACAATCAATTCAACTATTTCAAATGGTCTGGTAGCAAGAATGTTTACGTAATAAAAAAAAACACTGTTCTTTTCATTATGTTATTGTTTATTGTAAATAAAATTCAAAAATAGTACATTCAACATTATCCCATACATAGGTCATATGATACCATACCACTCATTTTCAGGCCTCAAAATAGAGCTTTGTGAAAAGACCTGTTATAGTCATTTGTTATAGTTATAGTCACCTGTTATAGTCACGCGTCGACTTATTTACATTTTAGACTATAGCAATGTGTACATAAGTTACCCGCCGTTCTGACCGTGAAGGAAAAAAGTGATGCAATCTGCATATATCGGCGAAGAAACTCAAAGTAATATGTGAAGTCAAACTGCAGTGCAGTGTGGTTTACTAAGGCTTAGTCACACCTTATTTAGGGTAGGTTATGAAACTCGATGGGGAATATAGTGAGCTGGTGATGATATTAATGATTGTATAATCTGGGATCACATATAAAACATTTAACACACATAAAAAGATTTCTAATTTTGTAATTCATTTTCATATATACTATACGGCAGCGTTTTTAAAATGCGACGCTTTTTATCGCGCGTTGTTGCATTTTAAGCGCTGGAGGAAACGAAACAAGAGTGATTTTAAAGTGTTATCGCATGAGAGCCGCCAACGCAGTTTTAACATGGTGTTGAAGCACACGATTTAATCGATTTATGTATGACCTTGCAACTTAGTCGTACAAGCTTACACATGTGCAGTTCCCCTGATATAGATGTAAAAACATTTAACATTACATCCGTTAATAGGCACCCGAAAATATTTTTTTTTTTCGCATCATTTCTCGCCTATAACGAATTTTTCGAAGGCTTTACCAGCCTGTAATGCTCTAAGTCGTTGCTTGTTACAATCCTCAGTTAACACTTCGGGATTAAATTGATATGATGTTCTTTCAATGATAGGTACAAAAGATGAACAATCTGGTTCCAAAATTAATCTATGTCTCAAACATTTCTCATTTTCAATCAATTGTTGTCTTGCTTTAATTCTTGCGATCATAGAAGGTAGAGCTATTGATTTTTCTACCAAATCTGGACCTTTGGTATAATTACGTTTCACATCATCTGGCAACACTATCTTTTTCTGCAATTTCTTTTTATCCAATTGAATGGTTTTAATCAATTGAAAATTATTGACTTTCGCTTCATTATTACTTTTATCAATAATAAATTCTTTACTTAAAAGAAAGTTTGACTCAATATTTACATGTTTATTTGCTTTAGGTATATTTACTTGTAAATCATTTGTAATGATATCTGTATTTACGTCTTTTGTTTTTGCATTGTTGGAAACATTGCTTTCTGATTCAACATAATTTGTACTAACCACATCATTTTGTGGTGATCTTATACTGTCAATTCTCTTCATAGTTAAAACTTCATCAATATCTACATCAAATTCATCAGATAACCTTGTTAGAGTAGCATTTATTTTCTTTGTATTAGTGAAAATAGATTCTAATTCCTTTTTCATGTCAATTTCTTCATTATTTCTATGATCAATACCATCAAAGGCTTTCATCCATTCTTTATCTTTCGATTTATTACCGTTGATGTTACTGTTAACATGTTGAGGTGTTACGAAGAGATTTTGGAATACATCTATCACTTCGAAATCTGATTTAGTACTTTTATCTAACAATGAGCCGGACAGTTCTAGGTTAGAGTCATTATTCGTGTCTGTCAAATCGACTAGAATATTTTCTTTAGGTATACCTTGAGGTGTTAATGGTTCCAACACAGTATAAGGATCGAAATTTTTAAGAATATTTTGCAAACTGTCATTTTTCTCATTTGGGTTTTCCCACATTTTTTATCTGTGAATATAAATGGTAGTGTTTAATTTTATTTTGGATTAAATTATCTTTTGTTCAGATTAAACTAGTAATTAAATTTTTTGCCAAATAAAAGGGACACAAACCTTAGAATATCTAAAATATGAGAAGTTTTACTTTTAAATGTTTTATAACACTAAGATGCCTGCAATCTTTATAGATTATTTTAAGAACTATTTGTCAGTTTTTATTAACATAAATTAGACTACATTGTAATATCATGAGGCTCTAAAGCTGCAGGTAGGTCTGGTCCAGTAAATTTCTCCATGTTAATATCCTTTGGGCCTTTTGGCTTCAGCCCTTGACACCAATATTATTATATTGTAATAATTTAAATAAGAGTTACATTTCAAAATAACATAAAAATTTACTACAAGTCCCCCCCCTTTTTGACCGCCTTCCCAAAAGAAGGAGATACTCAATTCGTCTCATTTTTTTGTTCATCAACTAGCAACACCTTGTTGTATATATGAAGATTTTTCAATTTTTAATATTAGAGTTTAAATTGGTTTCCCATGCAACTTACTCTCAGTACTATATGTAAAACTTGAATATTTCTATATACAAACCTGTTTTATATAAGCAATTTATTTACAATCATCACCTATAGACATCAACTGCTGGATATGACCTCCCTACGAATTGCCACAAATGGTTACCATCCCCTTTCATCCTATAATTTAATTCCGAGACCAAAAGATTGTAAACAAAAAGTATAAAAACTCCTCCCACTGTTTCTATCCATATCTATAATATTATAATAAAGTGTAAACACACACTTCTTTGTTGCCTAAGATGTTGAAAATAACAGGAAATTTTTGAATAATTCTTTTTTTAATAAAAACCCCTACACTTGCATCACACTTTAGGAATAAAATACATATATTTTAACGCCATTAAACTTAAGGGGTAAATATTTTCGATAAAATCCCTAATGTGGGAAAGAGACCATAAATTGCTGCCAACATCGAGAAAGCAAGGTTGTCATCATGTCATGACATTTGTAATTCATAATTGGACAGATGTAAACAAAAAAATAAAATTTTCATAATTCCATTCAGATGAAGTTTCACGGGAACAGCTAAGTAGTTCACTATATTGGACTATATGGTACATACTAGCTTTTATTTGTGACTTCATCTGCATATAATTATAAAAATGAAATTGTAAATTTCTAATGGCAATAGATTTTTCTAAATCTGTCCATCGGTTTGTTACATAAATGTAAATTCTACTTTGCAATATTAGTATAGATGGTATTTTATTTACTACATGTACATCTTAGTTCAATGTCAACTTGTCCTTGTCTTTATGAAAGGTCAGCAGTTTGTACTGCTTTTCCATACATTTTTATCAGCCGTTATATATGAAATATCTGTATCCACTCCCTTCTTATACTTTTCGGTCTTCCTCTTACTACATCATACTTCTTACTAATATTATAAATTCAAAAGTTAAGACAGACCAATGGATACATGTTAGATAGTATCCAGAACAGCTCAACAGATCTTAAAGGCATAGATGTAGCCTGGAATGACGTATAGGCTACTGAACATTTTTTTTAATTTTACGCGGATGATCGCGGGTTAATGCTAGTTTGTAATAAAATATATTGAATTTTTATCTGTTCAAAAATATGTTTTGTTTCTAAGCTTTTGATCTTGATTTGAAATTAACTTTACAGGATTCTGGCAAGTATGGAACCAATTGTTGTTTTTTTAGGTAGGCCTGTCTCCAAAAGTAGATCTCCAATAAATGATAAGTGATAATGCTGAAATTGACTTAATATTTACATTATAAATTAATGTGTGTAATGTAGTTACATGTATAATTTAATGTATTGAACTTTTACAAAATTAAACATTTACCTTTATAATTTACGCATCAAAAATGATTTCTTTCTTTAAAATCACAAATATATTCATTTCCAAATGTACTCAGTACTCTTTGGTGTTAACAAAACATGTCAAAAATTCATTTTTTTTAACTTGTAGAATACTTGACAGCTAATTAGTGTTGTCTTATAATAATAATACCTTTTTATTGGTAGAGAAAAATAACAAATATTGGGATTAATTTAAATTACGACTGTGTGATTTTAGAGATGTCATCATCACCAACTCACTATACGTCCCCACTGAGGGGTCCGGAGTCTACCCTAAGTTAGAGGTGACCAGGCTCTAATCAATCACGTTGGCCAAGTACAGGTTAGTTGACTTCACACATATATTTCAATTTCTTTGCCGATATGTGCAGGTTACATCCGATGTGCTCCACAACGGTAAGACTATATGGTAAATTATGTACACCTGAAATTCGAAAATCACTTCGGTACATGGTGGGATTCGAATCCTGGACAAGTAGATTACATAGAAAAAAAGAACGCAAATTTATGGTTAGTTAACGGAATGATGTGAATGTTTAAGAATTATTTAGTGTTATCAATATAATTGTCTAACTGTCGGCTTTAACATCTTCGCACGAATGGTTCGGCAAGCCCTCAGCAATACCAGGACCAGGACAGAAGACAGGCGTGAAGAGAAAGCAATTCCGCGTTTCGTCTGATGAGTGTGGAGCCGCAGATCCAGCTTTAGTCCCTTTTCCTTCCCACCCTTTTTCTCATAAGAAAAGGATGGAAATGGAACGTAGATTTGACGGTGGAGGAGACGCATAGGAAAGGGAAATATCCTCTTTACATGCGTCTTCTCCGTCGATTAAGGGTAGGTAACGCATCCGCTGTTGCGAAAACTAAGAGTAGCAGTCGCTTCGCCATTTTAGCGGATTCAGGCGGCCGCTTGCTCGTTTGCCACCTAATGATGTAAAAATAAATTATGGTTTCATATATTTAGGTTCAAAAAGTAATGATCGATTTTCATAACTAAACTAGTTTCCAGTTAAAATTATCTGCTGCTAAATTGGATTGTTGTTTCTTGATTATATCACATGTTATAATAATCCTTTTTATTAATCATATTAGAAGCCCTACAACGGTAAATATCCAATGTTACGATACAATGGCACGGTTATCCCTGCAGATACAGGCTTTGAAAAAAATCTTCTAGTACGGTTATTTACTTCTTACGGGATTCTTGGCTTTCAACTTTACGTGTTTTGTAATTTGTTCAACAAAATATTTCTTTTTCAATATGATTAAATTTAAGAAATCACAAGTTCAATCTAAGCCGCATTTTAGATCAGCTCAGTTTGATAATCAGCATTCAATTGCAACCCTAGTAACATTTGAATATGTAAGCTTATTTTACATTTATTATGAAATTTCAATGGTTTTGAATAAAAAGTGTATCATTGTTTAACAATTTATTTAACAGTGATCAATAGTGATTTAGGTTAGGTTGGGTTCGGTAGATTTCGCGACGAGGTTATGTAAACACATCTCGTAATAGGGCCTTTGCCCCTTTGCCAGTGAATTTTACTATGGAAAGGCCTGTCTTTAGACCAGACTTTATCCTCATATTTTAATCTTTCATGAACCAAAAGCGTAACTATGTATAGCATTTATTATAGTTTTAGGATAATTCATTATCAAGTATTATGCACTGACCTCTATAAATGGAAAATGGACAGGCTAAGAGCAATAGCATTTTGTGTCTATTTTATTTTCGCCATCTTGGCGCTGATGTTCGTGTTTCGTGACTTGCTGGTGTCGGTGGTGAGAATTGGTACTAATAATAGAGATTTGATTAATTGTCATTAACATCGATAGGCGCGTTTAAGACAAAGCAAATTCACGCCTAATTTATAAATCTTTTACAGGTAAAGACCTACACATTTATATACACGGTTCACACAAGGCCAGTAAGTTTGGGAACTTGTGCCGGCCAGTCATATATTGTATGGACTAACTGGCGCCCGTTATTCTTAACATTGTGCCTGTTGATTGTCTGTCTAGTTAATGAGCGCTACTGTCCAATCGTACTGGCCAAGTGTGAACCGCGCAATACAGTAATCAGTGACTTTACGCTTTAAGGCATAGCAACTGGCAACATTAATTATAAACTGTCGTCGTTTGACGGTTGCCGGAGCGTGATTTGATCGTAAAATAATATTTTACATTCATTAAAATTCCTATTTTATAATTTACTTGGCTCTAACTAAATCCCAGGTAAATGTGACTTAATGTTACCAATGCCGTGTAGGGTATGTTTACAATATAAATCTACTCAGTGGTATAAAATTAATCGAAACATGTGATACAATGCTACAAATGTTTGTTATCCTGTATAGAGGAGTTTACACGAATTGGATTCATAACATTTTATAGTAATATTGCAGTAAGTATTCCATTTGTTACAGTCGTTAAATTATTGACTTTTATATATCTTACTAATATCGTAAATATGAAATTTTAAATTGATGGGTGTTGTTACATATCTCCAAAACGACTTAGCAAATGTCGCTGAAATTTGTCATAAATGTAGAACATAGCTTGGAAGAACATATATGTTCCTAATGAGGTTTTGTTTGCTAAATCTCTTGCAGATAAAATCATTTCTCTCTGCAAGTGATTCACCACATCCTTCCTGTTTGACTGAAAGCAAAAGTTAAGAAAATGTTTTGACGAATTTCTCTAAACTACAAAATTTAATGCACATATACAAGTTAAGGTGCATTGCCTACTTTTCATTAAAACTGCATCCACAGAGAAGACATATCTAATGAAGATAATTACCATTCCCATTTGTTCCTCCTTAATACCTCTCCCATTCTTTCCTTGAATAAAAGACATGTAAAACTTTAAAATGGCAATTCTCATAGTTTAATATCTAAAACTAGCTGTTGCTCGCAAGTTCATCCATGCAATATTAAGATAAAAATGGAACTATAATATGCCTGTCTTTGTCAGCTACCCTTCAGTGAAAGTCCAGTCAAAATCGGCCCAGCCGTTTCAGAGATTACCTGGAACAGAAATGGCTTGCGGAAAGACAGTTTTTAAATGCGATTGTATAATGCAGACATCTTACCGAAATCTGGAATCTTTCTTTTGATATTACAGACACTCCAATTTTATTATGTATAGAATATGTTGCAGTCTCATTTTACTGAGTTCAATACATTTTTAAATAACTTTTTTATTTAATTTTCAGGATATGGAGACTTGCTGTTCACGGTTCACTGCAGCTGAAGGTGGTGCGAGACTGGCAGCGGTAGCCAGCATTAAGAATTCAATCATCACTGAACACTGCACATTTGTAGCTACGAGGCTGCTGCATGAAGATGCTTATAAGATTAGAGGGTGAGTACAGTTGAAAAGATTTACATTTACTCAATTATTATTATTATTATTATTTTGGGTGACACACTAGCAGCTAGTTAGCTGATGCGTGTGTGTTGTATAGCTCTGAGATTTTAAGATTGTCTAATCTATTTCTAAAAGCATTGACTGTTGGAGCCGCCACTACAGTATCTGGAAGCCTGTTCCATGCCGTTCAATGTTATATTGTTACAAACTAAAATATTTGACAACTAGCTGTTCCCGTGTGGCTTCATCCGCATGAAGTTATAAAAAGATATTTTATTGTTTACATTTGTTAAATTATCAATAGCAAATGACTTGACAAACCATGGCAACCTTGCTTCCTAGATGTTGGCAGCAACTTATGGTCTCTTTAACTCCCTAAGTATAATGGTGTTAAAATATATACTAAAGTGTGATGGAAGTATAGGGATTTTATTATAAAAAAGAATTATTGAAAAATATGCTGTCATTGCTGACATCTTACGCTGCAAAGAAGTGTATGTTTTATGCTTTATTATAGATTTTAGAATCACATGTGGTATTGATGATTTGACGGTGGAGGGACACATAGGAAGGGGAAATGTCCTCTTTATATGCATCTCCTCTGTCAATGAAGGGTAGGCAACGCAGCTGCAATTGCGGATGTTTATGGGCAGCGGTCCCTTTCCATTATGGTGGATTCAGGTGGCTGCTTGTCATTTGCCACATTATATTAAAAAAAAATCTATCAATAGGTAGTGAGATTATGTGAAAAATGTTTCAAGTGAATTGTCAACTTAGCTTACTCTATATTTTTTGAATCTCTTTGCTTAAACATAAATAAATTCTCATTCCAGATTGCTCAGTGAAGGTCGTCAACGGTCAGTATTCGTAACTCGAGCGTCACGTATCGCCTATGTCGCGTATGAACTAGGAATCCTAACTGATCTAGCGATAACTAAGGCTGTAGAGTATGAAGATGTGACAGACTGGAAGGTGCATTTAGAGGAGAAAGAAGTAAGTAAAAAAAAAATTCAATAGAAAATATGAAATATTTGCGTAAGATTCAACTCTGCAATTGCTGTTGTCTATGGGCAATAATCCCACAACTATTATGGTGAATTCAGGTGGCAGCTTGGTTAATTGCTAACTTATGATATAAAAAGAATCTATGAACAAACATTTTTCAATACATTTTCACAGTTTATTTGCATGAAATTATAAAAAATCTTTTTATTGTTTCCATTTGTCATATTCTCAATTGAAAATGTCAATATTACCATTACTATAACCTAGTTTCCTTAAGGAACATTAATGTTGGCAGCTTGTAGTTTATGGTCCCTTTTCCACATGATGGTTTTCTTCAATTTATTTACCCCTAAGTTTAATAGCGTGAAAATATATAGCCCATAGCGTGTCGTAAATATAGGGCTTTTCATTAAAGAATGAATTATTCAAAAATATGCTGTAATTGCTGATATCCTACACCACAAAGTAATATGTGTTTACCTTTTATTATATTAGTATAGTCATCATCACCAGCTCACTATATGTCCCCACCGAGGGGCTCAGAGCCTACCCTAATAAGGGGTGAATAGGCCATAGTCAACCACGCTGCACTGCGGGTTGACTTCACACATATCTTGGAATTTCTTCACAGATAACAGGCATCACGATGTTTTCCTTCACCGTAAGAACGTCGGGTAAATTATATACGTATGTAAATTCGAAAAATCGAAATTTAATTGTTTTTTTTTTATAACATGAGGTGGCAAACGAACAAGCGGCCATCTCAATCCGCCAAAATGGCGAAGCGACCGCTGCCCATAGACATCCGCAATTGCAGATGCGTTGCCTACCCTTATCCGACGGAGGAGGTGACGCACATAAAGAGGATATTTCCCCTTCCTATGCATATCCTCCACCGTAAAATCCACTTTCTCTTTCCATCCTCTTGTGAGAAAAGGGCGGTAAAAAAAAGGGACTAAAATTAGGCCTCCGGCACCACACTCATCAGACGAAACACGGAATTGCTTCCATTTGACGCCTGTCTTCTGTGTGGTCGTGGTATTACTGGGGGCGTGCCGGCCCTGCACTGCTAAGATGTTAAAGCGGGCACTACCACTGTTCAAGCTACCGCTGGTACAGCGGGATTCGAACCCAAGAACTGTAGATTACAAGTCAAGTGCTTAAACCACTGAGCCACCAACACTCTGTATAGAGTAATATAATATATATTAGTATAGAGAACAGATGTGAAATTATAGTTAACCACAATAGTATTTAGTTGTAATTTTTTTGTTCTAGGTGATAGTATGTACATCAAGAATATTAAAGTGTGTTCTAGAAGATGGCTACCTCAGTATGCGTGATATCAACGTATTAGTTATAGACAGTTGTCATTTGATATCTACCGATGATGATTTGAAATATGTGAGTATTGAATGTTGGTATTTATTAGAGTAGTGGCGCCAGGGGGCAAACTAGTTTTCCTAGTTTACTCCCAAAAGATCATTGCCCACTCCACAGATCTTCTACAGGCGAAACCGATGGTAGAATATACAATGTCTGTTGAATTTTTGGTTACAATGACCTCTATAAATGGACAGGCTATAAAACCTAGTAATTTATGTGATCACATTCGCTGTTGGTAAATGTTCAAAACTCGAACTAATAATAGAGATAAAATTAACTGTAAAATCAGCATATGTAAAATCAGAATCAAAAATATACATCTTTTCCAAACAATTACCTATCTTTTTATACAGATCAGTGATTTGTCTGATGGAATACAATGACCCCAAAAATCTCTTAAGCTACCTCCTCTTCTTATATGAAATGGATAGGACGTAGATGTATATTTGACAGAAGAGGGGACAAATAAGTAAGGGAAATATCCTCTTATGTGTATCCTTTCCTTGATTGAAGGCAACACATCTGCAAATTCCTTCCTATGGTAAATCATAGCCCTTTGCTAATAAATATGTTTTTTTATAGGTTATGCGTCTATACAAAGAGTGTACAGATAATAGGCCTAGATTACTAGCTCTTACGTATCCTATATTTACGTCCATAAATAATGAAAACGAGGCAACTAATATTAGAGAGAATAAGTCTGATTTGACACAAATAGATTCATCGAATATTCATAAAACTGTTCTTGTGAACGAAATAATTGAAATCACAGATATCGAAGAAACAGATTTAAAAGCAGAGAAAACAAACACGGATGATGAAAATAATGAAGTTGACAATTCTGTTATAGATAATACAAATGAAAGAGAGACTAACAATACCATAGATAAAATAAATAATGTTCAATTAAAAGATGAAATACTTATGGATGATGAAAAAATAGATTTGTTAGAAAAGGAAAGTACTAGAGAAAAAGATACAATATCAAGTACAGAGATAGAAAAAGGTATAAAAGAGAAATCAACGGAGAAAGAGGAAGTAAAAGATTTAGGTGTTTATAAGAATGTGGATGATTTTGAAATGTATGAAAAATTGGGATGGAAAATTGAAGAATTGGAGAAAGAGTTGAATTGCGAAATGGATTTAGCGGAAGATATTGATGGCGGGAAAAGGTAAGTGTTATAGAATACTAAGCTTTTTTATACTATCTATACTATTATAATAAAGCGTAAACACACACTTCTTTGTGGCCTAAGATGTCAGCAATTACAGCATACTTTTGAATAATTCTTTTTTTAATAAAAACCCTTGACTTACGTCACGCTTTAGGCTATATATTTTCACGCCAATAAAGTTAGGGGTAAACATTTTGGATAAAATCCCTAATGTGGGGAAGAGACCATAAGTTGCTGCCAACATCAAGAAAGCAAGGTTGTCAAGGTTTGTCATGTCATGTCAGCTTGTCATTTGCTATTGATAATTTGACAAATGTAAACAATGCACTAAAATTTTCATAATTTCATGCGGATTAAGCTGCACGGGAACAAATAGTATGTAATAAAATTGGATTGCCTGTTAGTAATATCAAATGAAAAATTCCAGATTTCCTGATGATGTATTTGCGTTGCTGATAACGAAAATCGCATTTAATTTTTTTTGTCTGTCCACAAGCCATGTTTGTTCCGTGTAATCTCTGAAACGGCTTGGCCGATTCAGAGGCCGACCGGACTTTCACTGAAGGGTAGCTGACATAGACGGGCACGCTATAGGTTATTTTTTCAATCTTAATAATGCGTGGACAAAGTCGAGGGCAACAGTTAATCTAAGATAAATTTCATCAAGATCCGTTCAGCAGTTCAGGCTACAAACAAACATCCATTTAATGTTTCCCATTTATGATTTCAGACTATCAACGACGATTTCAAAACCCAAAGAAGTTATAATAGAATACTCTAAACAAATTTCATTGGAGAATCTTCCAGAAGTTTACAAAGAACTGGATTTGTTCATGAGAAAAACAATACAAGACGGAATTGATTTTATAAATGAACATAGGTAAGTGGAAATAACTTAGAAATACCTAAAACTAAGATTAGTAAACTAGCTTTCGCCCGCGACTTTCGCGTGGAATTAAAAAGACAAAAGTACACTTCATGTTCCAGACTATCCTCTACATTTATACCAAATTTCATTGAAATCCATTCAGCCGTTTAGGTTACAAACTCTAACAAATATCCATCAATAACAGTGGTAGAACCCGCTTTAAAATGTTTGCACTGCAGGGCTCTCAGTAATACACACACAGAAAACAGGCGTGAAGTGAAAGCAATTCCGCGTACAGTCTGATGAGTGTGGTGCCGAAGCCCAATTTTACTCCCTTTCCCTTTCCACCCCTTTTTCTCATAAGAATAGGATGGGAAGGAAACGTGGATTTGGCAATGGAGGAGACGCATAGGAAGGGGAAATATCCTCTTTATGTGCGTCTCCTCCTCCGCCGATTAAGGGTAGGCAACGTATCCGCTATAGCGAATGTTTATGAGCAGCGGTTGTTTCACCATTTTGGTGGATTTAGGTGGCGGCTCGTTTGCCAACTCATGATATAAAAAAAAAACATTTGCATTTATAATATTAGTATGATTGGTAGGATTGTTCATTGTTTGAGAAAAAATTGTATCACATAGGTATCTTAACTATTATAGCCATTTGAATTTCGCCATTTTGGCGATGGTTTCAAACTTTGAAGAATTAACTGTCTATAACATAATCATAGCATAGCCTATCTATATGTAGAGTCCTACTGTTCCCTTATAGCTTCGTCCGCATGAAATTAAATTTGTCAAATTCTCAATTGCAAATGTCAAAATCACTGTTACCATAATAACCTTTCTTCCTTAATGTTGGCAGCTTATAGTTTATGCTCCCTTTCCCACATAAATGTTTTTCCAATTTATTTACCGTCTAAGTTTATAGTGTGAAAATATATAGCCTAAAGCGTGACGTAAGTGTAGGGCTTTTTATTAAAAGAAAGTATTATTCAAAAATATGGTGTAATTGCTGACATGTTAGGTAACAAAGAAGTGTGTGTTTACGCTTTATTATAATAGTATAGCTATAGATATACTAGCTGTTCCCGTGCGGCTTCATCCATATGAAATTATAAATTTATTTTTTTTCAAATTCTCAATTGCAAATGTCAAAATGCCAATTACCTTACTATGGCAACCTTGCTTCCTTGATGTTGGCAGCAACTTATGGTCTCTTTCCCACATTACGGCTTTATCCAAAATATTTACCCACAAGTTTGATAGCGTGAAAATATATAGTCTAAAGCGTGACGTAAGTGTAGGGTTTTTTTATTAAAAAAATAATTATTCAAAAATATGCTGCATTTGCTGACATCTTAGGCAACAAAGAAGTGTGTGTTTACGCTTTATTAAAATAGATCACTGTTTATATATATTTTTTTATAATTCCAGATACGATCCATCAGAAATATACGGAGATGAATTATATGAGGAATTTATCAATATACCGGACCCTACTAAAGAACCAAAGGAGATATTTGCTCAATTTTTATACATTTTGAATGAATTAGGTATGTTTTATAGATAAATTAATATAATCGTACTTAGCAATGTTAATTTAACCACTTTACTAGTCTGGGGTAGTACACGTACGATGTACTAAAAAGAAATGTTACTCGGCACTGTACTAAAAGTAACGTTACCGAACTTCTGTTAATCGGACATTTGGCACATTTAGTACAGTACACGATTTTAGTGTTCGCTTCTCCGTTGTTTGATTTGATTGGATATTTGTTAGATTGAAGCGTCCTTCTTCAATAAGAATCAAAAGTGGATAAAACTATTTATAATTTAAATTTATTTTAGCTAATAACATATGTTTGACACTGCTTAATATTTGATGTGAAGTAATCTATAACCCTCGTTATATTCTATTCATGTATTGTGTTTTCACAAATCTGAGTTACTAAAGGTACTAAAAGTGTGTACTAGTACATTATTCCAATTATATTAGTACGGTGCGCACTTGCAAATGTCCGATTAAGCACACGACTACTCCACTAGAGACTCGCCAGGCATGCGCGCCAATACACCAATCCATCTAATGACATTGACAGCTGTCAGTTAGAGATGTGACGTTTATGCTAATCTAGTGTTGTGCCAATTTCTACAGCGCGGTACTAATTTTCTTCTTAACAGTTATTTTTTATAAGCTTTAGTAAGGAAAACTTTCAATAAGTCCCCTCTGTCGATTAAATACGAATGTCTAGGGGATCATTCGCTATTTTGGCGAATTTATACGATGCTACAAAAATAATACTTTCAAAACTATCAGAATTACAATCAAATATACTTACAAAATAACATATATGGTAAATTATTGAAATTAACCGATTACTGAAACGTTTAAATATGTAATAGCGCTTTTACAATAACATTTTGACAGGTGTCAGATTGTAAGCAACACTTATGATGTGTACATTCGTTTCAGTAATCAACTATTATTGTGAAAAAAAGTGTCGTAAATATATTCTATCCCTCTACGTAGCATTACATGAGTGAGACAAAAATATCTCCTAGAGAAAGAAAAGGATAGCTATACATTGTAAGGTTGTATTCAAAGTTTTATTTGTCTAATTTCAGGTCCATATGCAGCCGATAAAGCGGCGTTCTCTTTACTCGCCAAATTAGAGAAATTAAAAATAAAAGTACCATATGAAAGACATTTTCTCTTATTATGCATGTGTACAACAATATTTATAAAGATACGAGGATATGTGGACAATGTTTTCTCAAAGTATACTTCAGATTGGGATAAAATTAAATTATTCTGCACACCGAAGGTTCTACGATTAGCTGAGATATTGGAACAATTTAAACCAAACGAAAGTGAACAAAAAGAATCAAACGATAGTCCGACAAATGATTGTATAAATGAAACGGATCATAAATTAAATGAAACGGCTGAAATAAATGAAATTAATCTAACAAGATATGACTCTGATTGTAAGAATGAATCAAATCAATCAACAAATGAAAATAGTCCTACAATAAATGAAAACGATCACAAAATAAATGAAACTGAACTAACAAGGGATGTAACTAATCTGACAATAAATGAAACTGATCATAAAATAAATGAAATTACAACAAAAACCAAACAAATGTTGAATGTTATAGAAAAATGTGATTTTAAAACTCTTGGTAATAAAATTGAAGATAAAGTGAATACTTATGAATCTAATTTAAAAGAAATAATACTTTTTAGTTCAAGTGATAAAAATTTAAACAATAAAAGTAATTTAAAAGTGAAAGTGGAGGAATATAAAAGTGTAAGGGGTAGGCAGAGGGTGAGGGGGAGGCCGAGGGTGTTGAAAAATAACTCTGTTAGGGTCCAATTGAACCAGAATCCGGATGCTTTGTGTGGGATTATGTTTTTAAGAGAACCTTTGATGGCGAAGATCTTGTTTATGATTATTGTGGTAAGAGAAATACGTACTTTTTCATAAACTAAAAATTGTTATACTGAAAAACCTATTGGTATAGGTTTTCAAGTGTGTGTGTGTTCTCGACTTTCCTCTACATATAAAATCATCGCAACTAAACTGAAACACAGTTTTTATAAATAGTTCAGGAGACAGCTTTACTAAATTTGTCAAAATATTCTTGTATAATAAGGAGTTTTTTTTTATCGAAATCTGTTCAGCAGTTTAGGATACAAACTAACAAACTTACATCCATCTAAACTTTTACATTTACTAATATTATAAATGTGAATGTTTGGATGTTTGTTATAATGTATACTAAACTGCTGAACAGATCTCGATAATAAACTCCTTATTAAACAAAAATATTTTGACAAATTTATTAAGACTCTGTCTCCTAAACTAGTTATAACAACTGTGTTTCTTTTTAGTTTCGATGATTTTCATACATGTAGAGGATAGTCCATAATACATCTGCTATTTACTCTTGTTTTTTAATCCACGTGGACGAAGTCACAGGCAAAAGCTAGTTAATAATATTAGTATGATTTTATGATTTTTTTTATAATAACAAAAGGTGGCAAACAAGCAAGCGGCCTGGAATCCGCCAAAATGGTGATGTGACTGACCATAGACGCAATAGCAAATGCGTTGCCTACCCTTAATCGACGGAGGAGACGCACATAAAGAGGATATTTCCCCTTCCTATGCGTCTCCACCGTCATATTCATGTTCTCTTCCCATCTTTCTCTTATAAGAAAAGGATGGAAAGGGAAAGGGACTAAAGTTGGGCCTCCGGCACCACACTCATCAGACTGCACGCGGAATTGCTTCCACTTCACGCCTGTCTGTGTAGTTGTGGTATTGCTGAGAGCCCTACAATGCGAAGATGTTAAAGCAGGCTCTACCACTGTTATCTATTTTTCAGGATATGTCTCGCTGTCGTCAGTCACTGAGTTACATCTGCGCTCAGTACTGCGCGGTGGAGGTCGCTGGGGAGCTGCAGGAATGCCAACGGCAAAGCAGAAAACAAGAAGATGTACTAAAGAAGTGAGTAAACAAACTTTGTAATACTAAATATGGGATTATTCCCAACCGTCACCCCGTTGTCCCTACGTGGGAATGAAAAGTTTCATCTGTCCCACCTTTTAGTCCTAATATCACCAATGAGGTGACAGATGGAACCATTAAGAAGTAAAGTGTTCTAACCGTCCCTCGTCGCAAAAGGTTAGTCGGATGACACTTTTTACTCTCATCTGTCCTTACGTGAGAATAAAAAGTTTCATCCGTCCCATCTTTTAGTTCCACTATCACCAATAACGTGACAGATGCAACTCTTAAGAAATTAAAGTTCCAACCGTCCCCTCTTCGCAAAATGTTAGTCGGATGACACTTTTACTCTCATCTGTACCAACGTGAGAATAAAAAGTTTCATCCGTCCCATCTTTTAGTTCCACTATTACCAATAACGTGACAGATGAAACTTTCAAGAAATAAAAAGTTCCAACGTCCCTCGTCGCAAATGGTGGGACGGATGAAACTTTATTTTCATCTGTTCCCACGCGGGGACAGCGAGATGGGAATAATCCTAAATATGTAGAAGATGATGGGTTAGTCCATCTATTCTCATTGAAATAAATCAAGTTTCCAATCGCCACATTATAAAAAAAATGTTTAAAAAAGTACATAACTTCAAAGGATGTTGGAATTTTGCATTCGGTAAAGATCGTACGGATTCGTTATATTCGCAAACATATACCATAGTTTAAATTTCGCGAGCCGCGTAAATGCGGGTAACCGGCATTTTTATATTCCAAGTGGGTAGATACGACCACTAGCGCGGGGCTGCGGAGAGTAGACAGAAAGTCGTGTGCAAGCAAAGCGAGTCGCTCGGTTAGTTCAAGTTCAAAGTTCATATGAAGTGGTTGCTTGTCCGATATTAATTTTATTAGCAAACGGGGTCTCTTTGTTCGGTTTCGCGTTTAAATAACGATGCAAGGCAGAATTACTGGCGTCTAACTTGACTCGATTGACACCGTAGGTTACCTGCAGGGTGAGGGCATTGCAGGTAAGTACCATCATCCCCTTTTTTTAATTATGCCCTCCATGCGTAGTATAAGTGTAGGTTTTGTATAGCACAATAGAGAGCATGGTTAGGTGACGCGTGTTTTATAACCGCGTGGTTATAATCAGGTTATAGCGGTTTTGGATATGTTATCGATTGGCAGAGTAATTACGTCGCACAATATAAATGTAGGTTTTCATGCGGTTCGTTTTATAAAATTTTATATTTTACGTTTTGTTAACATTATTAATACGGCGTTTAGGGTTCGGTTTAGCCTTTTTGTATAGTTTAGATTTAATGGAATGTTTTAACGGGGTTTGTGTGACGGTTTTTTCTAGTTTATTAAAGTGAGTGTTTTTCATTACGCTTTTTTATTCATTTATTTTATACTATATTTTATTACGGTTGATAATTTGATGTTTTTTGTTTGATTTCATTACGGTTGGTTTTTTAATTATGTTTTTTATTTCGGATTATTTCTATGTGGTGTTAGTTAGTGGAGCGTAATGATTTATCTACCCACTTTTAATTTTTCAACGGGCTATTCAGCAGAATTTCGGATGGCGTCGTTATTTTTCTACCTTCGTTTTTTTAACTTTTTTAATGATGGCCGACAAATATACCGCACGTATAGCAGTACTATGATGACTTGTCTATGGTTGTGAATACCTTTAGGCCGGATATGCGCAGGCTTTGTTGGCTAGATATCGAAGGTATTACAAAATTTGCGAAAGGCGGCATTATTCATCACCATCATCATCACCAGCTCACTATACTAATAAGGTGTGACTAGGCCATAGTCAACCATGCTGGTCAAGTGCGGGTTGGCTGACTTCACACATATCTTTGAATTTATTCGCCGATATGTGCAGGCATCACGATGTTTTCCTTCACAGTAAGAACGTCGGGTAAATTATGTACATATGAAAATTCGAAAAATCGAAATTCACATGTACATGGCGGGATTCGAACTCGAGACCTGTAGATTACAAGTCAAGTGTTCAGACCACTGAGCCACCGACGCTCGCGGCATTATCTTATAGACCGTGTATTTATTTTGACTGTTATCTTCCAGGTTCCGTATGCACGAATGTAATCTACTCCTAGCCACCCCAACTCTGGAAGAAGGGATTGATTTGCCTCGTTGCAATCTTGTTTTACGCTGGGATGTTCCACCTTCGTAAGTATAAACTTGCGTAGATTATAAAATAACTGTTTTTTTTTTATTATTTTTAATGTATTTTTTTTTGTAATTTAAGTCTTATGAACCATGATATTTGAAAACCATCAAATACTTACTATGGGGGTATCTCACACACACGCGAGCGAGAGGCACACTTTTCCCCTCTTAAATAAAAAATAATGCAAAATGGTGCCAATGTTACTCACTGATAACGTAGCTTTTTAATGGTGAAAGAATTCTTGTAATCGGCAAAGTAGTTTTTGAGTTATTTCAATACATACAAAAATCCGAACATCTTAGTATTCTATACTACTCTACTGAGCCGATTATAAAAATACTTTTACTATTCCAAAGGTAATTTATCTGTGTAACATGGGCTATATATATTTTTTTTATTTTATGCGAAGTCGCAAGGAATAGCTAGTATTGTATGAAAATAGACCGTCATGTACTGTCCTCATCTCGATGGCTGGGATTCCACAACCGTGCGGTTTTGAACTTTCAGCTGGTCGGTCCTCGGCGGTATTTCCAAACCAATACGACTTAGGGTCCTTCAAGAAGCGAGCCTCAAAGGCAACGCATCTGTAGTTCCTTTGGTGTTGTGGATGTATGAGCGCTCGTTCGCCCCCTTTTATTATAAAAAGAACGAGCTGTTGTCCGCGACTTCGTCCGCGTGGTATTAGAAAACATACGAACTATATAAATTACAAAAAGCTACGTATCCCTCGGGACCCGTACTTTTCTCTGGGATGAAGCTTATCCCATGTGTACTCCAGACTTTGTTTTATATCTGTGCCAAATTTCACTAAGATATGTTGAGCCGATGCAGAATGATCGAGTGAACATTAAAAAACTAAATTAATGAATCCCACGGGAACCGTAACTATTCCCTGGATAAAAAGTAGCCTATGTGTTCTTCCAGACTATGCTTTAAACCTGTGCCAAATTTCATGAAGATCCGTCCAGCCGTTTAGGCTACAAACGCTAACAAACATCCATCCATCCATCTAAACTTTCGCATTTATAATATTAGTAAGATTAGTAATGTAACTGTGAATATTAGGTATCGTTCTCACGCGCTGTGCCGCGGCCGGGCTCGGGCTCCGCGCTCCTCTCTCGCGCTGTTGGCGGAGTCTCCGCACCACAGCACCATGTTACTGCACCATCTCGCTATATACAGAGAACTTGATCAAGTAAGTAACATCAATTTTGATACATTTAGGGCCTGTCCCACTACTAGCTGATAGAGGCTCAGATAGCTTAAAAATAACGTCGAAAAAACTTTTCTGAAATCTTAAAATTTTTTTGTAAAAAAGATATTTAACAGTGGTAGAGCCCGCTTTAATATTTTTGCACTGCAGGGCACGCCCTAAGCAATACCACGACCACACAGACAGACGTGAAGTGGAAGCAATTCCGCGTACAGTCTGATAAGAGTGGTGCCGGTGGCCTCATTTAGTTCCTTTACCTTTCTTCCCTTTTATTAAGAGGAATGTATGGAAAGGAAAAGTGGATTTGACGGTGGAGACGCATAGGAAGGGGAAATGTCCTCTTTATGTGCGTCTCCGTCAATGAAGGGTAGGCAGCGCTGCAATTGCGGATGTTTATGTGCAGCGGTCGCTTTCCATTTCGGTGGATACAGGTCGCTTGCTAAAAAAATATAAATGATTTTCAGATAGTAACAAGGAAATGTGGTTGCGGTATTCAAGATGAGCCTACGAGTGAGGAAGAAAGTATAGCTGATGATTTCACAGCTATTATAAAAGCTTATACACCTATGGAATATAAAATAACACAAACAAACATAAACGAAACAACAGATGACAAAGAAATCAAACATAAAGAATCTAGAAATGAAATAAGTAATAATGAAACGGAACTAATAGAATCTATACAATTAGATAAGATTGAAGGTGAAAATGAAATAGAAAGAGACAAAGATATAACTGGAAGTAATGAAATGGAAGTAGAAATTGATTTAGAAAGAGATGGAGATACTACAAATGAAACAGAAAGAGATGTAAATACAAATGGAAATGGAATAATAAAAGATGCAATAGAATTAAATGAAATTAATAGTGAAAATAAAGAATGTGATATTGTAATGGGCAATGAAGTAAATAGGACAATAAAGAAAAGTGATTCCGATAGTATTGCGAGTGTTGATTTAAGTACAGCGATTGCACTTATTAACAGGTAAGTTAACCTGTTCTATACAAAATAATTTAAATCCCTTTCTCATTACCACCCTTTTCTTATAAGGAGAGGTTGGGAAGGGGAATTAGATTTGACGGTGGATGAAATGCATAGGAAGGGGAAATATCCTCTTTATGCACGTCTCCTCCGTCGTATAATGGTAGGCAACGCAATTGTAATTGTGGATGTCTATGGGTAGCGGTCGCTTCGCCATTTTGGCGGTTTCAGGTGGCCGCTTGCTCGTTTGCCACCTTATGTTATAAAAAAAAATACTAATATAATAAAGAGGAAAGATTTGTATTTTTGTATGTATTGAAATAACTCAAAAATTACTGGGGCCGATTTTAAAAATTCTTCCACTGTTAGAAAGGTAATTTATCTGTGAGTAACATAGGCTGTATTTTTTATTATTTTTATAATTTCACGCGTACGAAGTCACGAGCAAAAGCTAGTTATAGATATAACTTGGCTTTGTTTTTTTTTTATTAAAAATATTAGTAGATTTTAGTTGATTTACTAATATTTCCTTTAACTACTCCAACTAAGCTGTAAGCTTGTGCTAGGATATGGTTCACAGTCTAACGGCGGGATTCGAACCCTAGACCGTAAGATCGGTAGTCCGTACCTCAAACTATTAGGCTATTGGCGCTTAAAGTTATCCTCATTTAACTCCTAAAAGTCTTTTGTATTTGTATTCCATGCAGACGAAGTCGCGGGTTAAAGCTAGTAACAAATTAATGTTTGAGTCTTAAAGAATTATTTCTCAAAAAGACAATTTTTACATAACTTTACAGGATATTGCACTAATAATTACATAAATAATCGTCATTATTTTATACTAGCTTTCGACTGCGACTCCGTCCGCGTGCAATTAAAAAAAATTAAAGTGGTTAGCCTATGTGTTCTTCCAGACTATCCTCTACTATACCAAATTTCATCGAAATCCGTTCAGCAGTTTAGACTACAAACTCTAACAAACATCCATCCATCTATTCATCTAAACTTTCTCATCATACTAATCTTACTAATATTATAAATGCGAAAGTTTAGATGGATGTATGGATGGATGTTAGCATTTGTAGCCTAAACGGCTGAACGGATTTCGATTAAATTTGGCATAGATGTAGAGGATAGTCTGGAAGAACACATAGGCTAATCACTTTTTTTTTTATTCCACGAAGACGGAATCGCGGGCGAAAGCTAGTTTTTAACATTAGTATGATATTTTACACTGTTCTAAAATAAGTGTTATTATATTTTAGATATTGTGGTAAGTTACCATCGGACACTTTCACTCGCCTGGCCCCGCAGTGGTGGCTGGAGGAGGTGCAGCTGCCGGACAGAGAGGGCAACATGAAGAAGGCATATATCTGCACTCTTCGCTTACCTCTCAACTGCCCCGTCAAGTATAATATTGTGGTAAGTGTTATTTTGTACCACTTGTAAGGAAATTACGTTAATTGAAGTATGTAAAATGTTCAACTTTGTGTGTGAAATGTTACTTAGTTTTAATGTAGCTTTTTATTGGTAAAAAAATTTTTGAAATTGGTCAATTAGTTTTTGAATTATTTCAATACTAGCATCCGTATAAAATCATAAAAAATAATTTTATTGTTTACATTTGTCAAATTATTAATAGCAAATGTCAAAATAACATGACAAACCTTAGCAATCTTCCTTTCTTGATGTTGGCAACAACTTATGGTCTCTTTCCCACATTAGGGGTTTTATCCAAAATATTTACCCCTAAGTTTAATGGTGTGAAAATATATGGCCTAAAGCGTGACGTAAGTGTAGGGCCTTTTATTAAAGAAAGAATTATTCAAAAATATGGTGTAATTGCTGACATGTTAGGCAACAAAGTGTGTGTTTACGCTTTATTATAATAGTATAGATATACAAAAATACAAATCTTTATAATATCTTTATTATCTTACTAATATTATAAATGCGAAAGTTTAAATGGATGTTTGTTACTTTGTAGCCTAAACTGATGAACGGATTTCGATGTTATTTGGTATAGATGTAGTGGATAGTCTGGAAGAACACATAGGCTACTCTCTTTTTTTTTTTATTTTACACGGATGGAATTGCGGGCGATAGCTAGTTCTTAATAATAATAATAAATGTTGTGTTTTTTAGGGTCATCCGATGCCAACGCGTGTGTTAGCGCGCCGAATGGTGGCATTACAAGCTTGCAGGATATTGCACAAAAGTGGAGAACTTGACAACCAATTGATGCCCATTGGTGAGTATTTTTTACTATTTTTTTTATTTTATAATGTAGCAAACGAGCAAGCGGCTTGAATCCACCGAAATAACATCAGCACATAAACATCCGCAATTGCAACGCTGCCTACCCTTTATTGACGGAGGAGACGCACATAAAGAGGACATTTCCCCTTCCAATGCGTTTCCTCCACCGTCAAATCCACTTTTTTTTCCCATTCTCTCCTCTTAAGAAAAGGGCGGAAAGGAAAAGGAGCCAAAACTAGTCCTCTGACACCACACTCATCAGACTATACGCGGAATTGCTTCCACTTCACGCCTGTTTTCTATGTGGTCGTGGTATTGCTGGAGCGAGCCCTGCAGTGCGAACATGTTAAAGCGGGCTCAGCCACTAATATTATAAATGCGAAAGCTTAGATGGATGGATGTTTGTAGCTTAAACGGCTCGTTGGAATATGTCATATATGTTGAGGATAGTCTGAAAGAACACGTAGCCTTCGTGCTTTTTTCTTCAATTCCATACAGACGTTTCCCAAACATGATTTATTTACGTGGCTTGATGAAAATTCAATTTCAAAATTGTTTGCGTGTTAAGTCTGAGTTTGTTCAGCGTTATCTTCGTAATGGCTAAACTGGTTTTAATTGGATTTTAATAGGAATGTAGGTGAAGTTTGCAGGAATATTATAGATAACTTTTTAAATTCCACGCAAAGTCGCGGGCGACTGTTAGTATATCTATCAAACGTGTTTAATTGGTTTTTAAGTGTTGATTTAACTGAATTTTAGGTGTAGTTAGAAATAGTTGTGACGAGACGATGGGGTCATAAACCAGAAAGTGTTAAGAATGATTTTGGACCTACCTTTGTAGTAGGGGATGACTGAAGAATGTATGGATTGTGTGAAAGAGGATATGCTTAAGAAAGGAGTGGATTCAGATATGGCTGATAGAGATGTATGGAAGAGCACATACTGTGCCGACCCTCCCTAAGGGATAAGGGCGAGTAGATGATACACGTGTAGTTAGATATTGTAAATTAACAAGAACTGTATAATTTTCAGGGAAAGAAAACTTCAAAGCTGTAGAACTGGAGAGTACAAGCAGTAACTGTAATGGAATAGAACCTATGGACCCGAATGACTCTGCGCGACCTGGAACTACAAAACGACGCCAGTATTATTATAAACGGGTATGTGCGTTTATCATATACTTATATTATAAATGCAAAAGTTTAGATGGATGGATGGATGGATGTTTGTTACTTTGTAGCCTAAACAACTGAACGGATTTCGATGAAATTTAGTATAGATGTAGAGGATAGTCTGGAAGAATACATAGGCTACTTAGTTTTTTTTTTTTAATTCCACGTATCGGAGTTGCCGGTGCATACTAGTAAACTAATATATGAATGGACAATAAGAAAACAAGAAATATTTGTAGGAACAAAATATGTTTGAAATTTGTCTGTGTGTTTGTGTGAGTTAATCTCAAATATGGCTTATTTAATTATGTTGCGGTTTTCACTATTCTATGATTTATCAGTTTCGTTTGAAATTTCTTATATAAATGCGAAAGTTTAGATAGATGTTTGTTAGATTTTGTAGCCTAAACTGCTGGATGATTGTCATACATGTAGAGAATACTCATTTTTTAATTCCACACAGACGGAGTCATGGGATAAAGCTAGTCAGAACATAAATAACATAGTTTTAATACAGAATTTAGTTAATTTTGCCACATTTGAGCTGACTATATAAGAATTTGTTGCAGACAGCGGGCGCGTTCACTGACTGTCAGCCAGTTGTTGACGCAACTGATGAAGAGATTGACAACTCAGTTAACTATGACCCCTCCCAGAGACAGTCCACACCTGGTAAGTTATTACTAATATTATAAATGCGAAAGTTTAGATGGATGTTTGTTAGAGTTTGTAGCCTAAACAGCTGAAGAGATCTCGATGGAATTTGACATAGATGTAGAGGATAGTCTGGAAGAACACATAGGCTACTTGCTTTTTTTTATTACGCGCGGATGGAGCCGCTGGCATAAGTTAGTTATAAATATATTAATTGAATTTATACTTATGAGCTGTCGCAAACTTCATTAGCGCAAATTTGGAGCACCCGTTACCCCATTTTGACAGCACTATATTAAAAAAGTAGCCTATAATAGTCGGCTATGTCAGCTACCCTCCAGTGAAAGTCCGGTCGAAATCGCCCCAGCCGTTTCCGAGATTACCCGGAACAAATGCGGCTTGTGGACAGACAGACATTTTAATTTTTTTTTTTGTTATCAGTAACGCAAATACATCATATTTCCGAAACATTAGTTAGTTGCATATTTAACAATACTTTTTTCTCATATTTTTCACACAATATTTAAAACTAGCTGTTCCCGTGCGACTTCATTCGCATGAGATTATGAAAATTTTATTTTATTATTACATGTGTCAAATTATCAATAGCAAATGTCAAAATGATATTAAATGGCAAACCTTGGAAATCTTGCTTTCTTGATGTTGGCAGCAACTTATGGTCTCTTTCCCACATTAGAATTTTTATCGAAAATATTTACCCCTATGTTTAATGTCGTGAAAATATATATAGCCTAAAGCGTGATGTAATTGTAGGGTTTTTTTATTAAAAAAAGAATTATTCAAAAATACGCTGTAATTGCTAACATGTTAGGCAACAAAGAAGTGTGTTTACGCTTTATTATAATAGTATAGGTAAGTTTTGTCTGTAGGTGAGAAAAGGAACACCCTGTACGCGATAGACTCTCGCCTGTGGTGCGCGTTGCCGGAGCGCTACAACACGCGCGGGCGGCGGCTGCACGCGCCGCAGCACGCCGCGCAGGCGATAGGCATACTGATGGCCAGGCACCGGCCTGACAAGTCAGTATACCACACACATCATCAGCATCATAACAGTGGTAGAGCCCGCTTTAACATCTCCGCACTGCAGCCTCTCAGCAATACCACCACAGACAGGCGTCAAGTGGAAGCAATTCCGCGTACTGATGAGTGGTGACGGAGGACTCATTTTAGTCACTTTCTCTTTCCACCCTTTTCTTAAGAAAGGATGGGAAGGAAAAGTGGATTGGACGGTGGGGATGCATATGAAGGGGAAATGTCCTCTTTATGTGCGTCTCCGTCAATGAAGGGTAGACAGCGCATCTGCAATTACGGATATTTATGTCGCTTTCAATTTCGGTGGATTCAGGCCGCTTGCTCGTTTGACACATTATATTACATAAAAAAAAATATCATCATCATCATCCTACGCCCGTAGTGGAGCAACAGGTTTTTGTCCTCCATAACTCTATCATACGTCATCTCAGTCATCACTCCCTTCATCATATCACCTTTCACACATCTCTTTACGTATACCATCGGTAGGATGTGCACACTCATAACTACACATTGTATATAAATTCAATAGGTATTTTATATTTTTTAATACTGTTTAGTTAATTTTTTAAATTGGTTATGAAATGTTGTAGACATTACTTAATCTTTGCCAAGTTACCTTAGATACTCTATGCCCGGGCGTTTTATTTCAAGAATTTAGGTTATAATTTTGTAAAGTGTTTTATTACATGTCAATACACGTGGCATATAACTTGATAACTATAGTAAGGTATCGGTGAAGGAGTTTTTGTTCACGATTCCTTGTCTGTACGTTATTTGAAATATGTATCTGAAATAGGTGTTTAACCAACTAACTGTTCTGCAGTTTGTATTAAAAATTGTACAAAGACTTAATAAGTCATTGTATAATTTTTATTATTTGTGCTGCCACATCTCGTCCGACCACGAGTGCTGACAGAGGGCAGGACTAACTGGTACCCATCCCATTCCTCTGCCCCTCCGTGGCCCCGCCTTGTACGACCACGAGGGCTGTGAGTGGACATCCCTCAGCTCCCCCC